GTAAAAAGGACTTATATCTATATTTATTAGATCTTTCCTATATCTAGAAGCTTACTAATAGTCTACTTAATAATACTTCTTTCTTCTAACCCCTATAGATAGATTTTATATTTCTATATTATAGCTTCCTTCTATTCTAGCTTTAGCTTAATATATATAAGCTTATCCTTAAGGACCTTAATAAAGCCTTTATTTATAAAAAAGGCTATATATCTATCTATTAGCTTCTATATAACTAATATCTATTAGTTTATACCTCTTTAAATATATACCTTTATTAGGTATTCTACTAACCTATTAAATAGGTTATCTAGTTATATTTAAAAGTAAGGTAGTTCTTTATTATAAGTACTAGCTAGCTTTAATACTATAAGAGTATCTATATATTCTACTTAATATACTTCTATATTCTAAGGTAGGGTCTATAGGTAGCTAAGTCTAGTACCCTAATATAACTATAGGTAGTATTCTAAGTTATTCTATAATAGTACTTATATAATATTAGCTTTAACTAGTATTATAAAGGTTATAGTTTACTATAGTATTTATAGTTTATATATATATCTAATATCTAATTTAGCCTTATATATTATAACTATAAGTACTATTTTACTTAAGGTAGCTTATATAGTCTAAGCTATTATAACTAAGTAACTCTTTACTTAAGATTATACTTATATTTATAGTATTATTAAGATTAATATACCTTAGTATATATAAAGTACTATAGTACCTTAGCTAAGTAGGATATTACTCTTAAGGGAGCCTAGTATATCTATACTAATTAGTATATTTAGTTTTAAGTCTAGTACTATAAATATTTAGGCTAGGTAAAGTACTATAGCTACCTAGCTATCTAGTATTATACTAATAAAGTATAATAGGATATAGGTATAGTACTTAGCTTAGGCCCCTTTAAGTCTAATACTATATATATATACTAGGTATAGGTAGCTAGCTAAGGTTACTTCTAGGTAGTATTAAGCTAGCTAGTTCTTATCTACTAGGGTTAGTAAGGCTTCTATATCTATATATATATTTAACTACTTTCCTAAGATCTTTAAATTAGGATATAGCTATAGGTATAAATATATCTATACTTATCCTAGTAATATTTCCTATACTAAAATACTAGTAGCTTTAATAATAGGTAGGTCTATATCTACCTATAGGCCTATAAGTTCTATACTTACTACTATCTCCTTAGTATCCTACTCTCTAGTATCTATCCTAGTACTTACTACTATCTCTTTAGTATCCTACTCTTTAGTATTTATCCTAATACTTACTACTATCTCTTTAGTATTATAAGGGAATATATAGTAATAAGTAATAGTAGTATTATTAGCTAGGCTAAAGGTAGAGAAGCTAGTATTATTATAAGTAATATATATATAGCTATAAAGCTTATTATTTAATTTAAATTCCTAGCTATATTCTTTATAAATATAGAGAATAGGTAGCTTTTTAGTCTAATAGCTTTAGTATCTATAGTTACTTATAACTAATAATTCCTCCTTTTCTACTATATCTTAGCCTATAGCTATAGTAAGATCTATAGTCTAGTTACTATAATCTAGTAATAGTTATTAGTAATAATCTTTATTACTATATTTAAAAAGGTCCTTCTACTATACTTACTATATATCCTACCCTATATCCTAAGTATCCTACTTATATCCCCTCTTATTTATATCTTAGTAATAATCTATATAATAAGCTACCTAGAGGGTATAGTATAGTATTTAATTAAATTAAGGTTAGTTATCCTAGGGTTAGTATAGTTTATTATAGCCTAGGTTAAAACCTTAGCCCTAGTTAGTATTAGCTAAGGCCTAGTTATTATTATTATTATAAGGTAGCTTTTACTTATTACCTAAGGTAGGTAGCTAGACTTCTTATTAGAATAGCTAATATAGCTATTATTATCTACCTTTATATCTATTCTCTTACTAAAAGCTATTCTAATAGCTATAACTACCTTTATTTCCTTTTATTTATAGCCTATATCCTTTCTAGTCTTAGCTATCTTAATTATAGCCTACTAAGACTTATAATTAAGCTTATAGCTATTAAAAGCTATTATTATTATAGCTACTATACTAAGCCTAGTCTTTATTAGTAAGACTATTATTATTATTATTTATAGCTAGATTATAAATAATACTTTAGTAATTATAGATATTTTAAAGGAAGCCTTAGATAGTAGTTTTTTCTAATAATAGGTTTAAAATAGCCTTAATTTTAAAGTCTAGTAAGTTAAATACTTATTAAAACTAGTTTTAAAGATCCTAATTAACTATTTAAATATCCTATAATACTTATAGAATATATATATTTATATTTTTTCTTATCTAGGTATTATCTAGTAAGTAAATAGCTTATTTTAAGTATTTATTTACTTTAAAAAGTAATAGTTTAAAGTAATTAATAAAGGCTATATAGATATTTAATATTAATATATAAAATATATATTATCTATTATCTATTATAAGTATATTTATATACTATTAAAAGGCTATTCTATATAAGTAAATATATTAAATATCTTAAATAGCCTATTCTCTATATAATTAACTATATACTAGTAATTAGTTAGTAAATATATATATATAAATATATAAGATATTTTTATTACCTATTATAATAATTCTTATACTATCTTAATCTAGATATTATAATTTAGGCTTAAAAAAGCTAATATTTACTTTCTATAAGCCTTTTATTATTAACTTATAGCTATATACTAAGAAGGTATTTTAATTAATTATATCTTTAAGTATAACTACTAAAGTCTTAACTACTACTTAGGAGATAATCTTAGTAAGTATATCTAGGTTTATTATAAGGTATAGCTAGATACTATTACTACTTTATTTACTAATATCTATTAAAGAAGTATAGCCTTAGCCTAGATAGTTCCTAAACTATAATAAAGATACTTAGCTTTAACTTTATAGTAAGTTAGTTACTTATCCTTTTTAATAATAGGGTATAGTTTCTATTACTAGCCTTTAGTTATCTTATAAAGTAGGCTTATATATTAACTATTTAGCTAGCTTAGTAATTATTCTATTTTTAAGATAATATATAGTAACTTAGACTTTTTATAATTATAAAAGTTTTATTATATCTACTTTTAAGATTATTAATAATAACTTAGTTTAGTTTATTATATATCTTTAATAAGTAATTATATTAGTTAAATATATTAACTTAGCTTTATTTAGTTTAAAGAATATAGGTTCTACTTTTAAGTAGTAATAAGTAATATATACTAGAATATATATATCTTATAGTATATATTTTAACTAATCTATATAGCTAGTTATACTTCTTAGTTAATAGAGATTATAATAATAAGGGTTTTAATAATTTAATAGTTTAATATAACTAGGTTATAATAATTTATTTTTTAATATAACTAGGTTATAATAATATAATAATTTAATAATTTTTAATAGAACTTTTAGTTATACTGATTTTTTAATATAATTACTACTAATTTATTAGTGTGTATATTAGAATAAAGATAATATTCCTAGGCCCTGCCCTATGCTGGCTACCTATCTAGTGGTGTGTGGGGCCACAGCCACCACACAGCCCACGGGCCACAGAAGGCGTAGGCCTTGGCACCAGTGCCCTGGACGTTGGCGCGCCATGGCGGCGAAGGCTTGGCTGCTGTGCCACTTTCACCGCGTCTCGGTACGCGCGTCAGTTGCCGAGCCTAGAATTTGTATGTTCGAGATGCTCATAGCGAGTCAAGTACAGTTAGAAGATGAGTCTATGAAGCAAGCTGTGATGCAGTTTGCCCTGAATTTGGCCGTACGACGGGGCGGGAAGGACCTGATGCATCCGGTCGATGAACTTGGGTGTAAGATTGTCGAAATGGCATTAAAGACTAAGAAAACAAAACAAAAAAATGTAGAGGAAGCAGAGATAAGTCAAAGTAGTTATTATCGAATCAGGACTATATTTAACCATATCTGCCAAGCCGTATAGGTAAATAATAGATGTTCCAGTCAGCAACAGAACTTCCTTGTCACTGACGGGTTATCGAGGTCAATTCAACTCAGGCCGTCGAAGCATGAATTTATTAGACGCTCAATTGCAACAACTTGTATCAACACTACCATCAGTAATAAGAGAGACACTACTCCGTACTATCATATCCCTTCCAATATATTCATCTCTCATGCTCCTAGTCACGGGCTCGCACAAGAATACGTAGAAACAAACAAACTTCGTATTAGTAGCTAGTCTAAATATACAATTCGCGCCCCAATGCATGCCATCAACTTCTCCGGACTCTCTGGTCAGCCAGTACCTTTGATTGATCAAGCAGAGGCTCAACGCAAGAAGCGCTCAACGATGACCGGGTATCTCATTTCGTCCATGCGTAGGAGGAGGTCGACCGGGCTCCCTTGGAAAGTTTGGTCCGCTTCTGTTTTGCGCAGCTTCAAGGCGGCGAATTTTGTCAATGAGACTCTTGTATGACTGCCGGTCCTGCCATCGCTTGTAACCAAGCAAGGCAATACACAGAACGAGGAAAACGAGGGAGATGCTGAGGCCGGTGACAGTGGCATCAGAATGAGAGGCACAGTTAACGTCAATGCTGGATGCTTTGACATCCATCTTGGCGTCGTTGGTTTTTGTGGTGTTGATCGTGTCGGCTACAACGAAAGGGCGGACTGGCACATTTATAGGCGAGGTATGACCAAGATTGAATCTCGGAAAAGAAGAAATATATGCTAGATTGCTCAAAGAAAATGTATAGATTCTCTTTGTTCTTTAACGACACAGCTTCGCTGACTGGTCGCCGGCTCAGATTCGTTGAAAGCCTCCCGCTATTGCCGACACCCTTTCACGGACGTTTCCTCTGAAAGAAAAGAATGCCAAAAACCAAGACGCCATTGTCTCCCAGGAATAAAAGAAAAAAAAAGACAAACAGACAAGAAAGAAACGTCTAAGCTCATAACAGAGGTACCATGTTTATTTTGTCATTGCCCATTGCCCAGCGACTCGAGAAGCTTCTTGGCCTTGTCCCAGAGCTCCGCCTCCATGTCGCGCTCGACCTTTGTGCTGCGGCTGTTCAGCCACCCAACGTCCAAGCTGCCGACAGCACCGACTCCATTGGGACGCAGCGATGCTTTGGTGGCTGCGTGAGGCTCTGCGCGCGACGCGCCGCTGCCGAGATCGATGATGCCCGCCTCCTCGAGCGCCATGATCTGCCGCTTCATGCGCACGTCGATATCGTGCAGCGCGGTGAGAAAAGAATCGGTAGACTGGGTGAAGGCTGCCTTGGCCGCATGCGCGTCAATGTCGGGGTTCGTGTCCTCGGCGGGGGAGCTGGCTGACGAGGGCGTAGTGAGCGAGCTGAGGGCCGTGGCGGCGTGGCTCATGAGCTGCACGGCGGACTGGTCAATGGCATTGAGCTGGCTGATATTTTCTTCGATGGTAAAGGGCTCGTGGATTCCAGAGGGCGAGCCATCGCGCATGCCGACGTCGTTTGGCGATGCCATGTCGAATTATGAAGTGGGCGTTTGCTGACGAGATTGGGCCTCAGAAGTGATGTTGTGCGCTGAGCGATGAGCGCTTCGTGGTGGGGGCGCCGTGAGCGCCATGGTGGACGGAGGAGGATGTACAGCTGCGTACCAGGTAGGTACCTAAGTAACAAGGTAGGCAGGTACATATCACACTAAAGCTCGGCTACAGGAAATAAAGGAAATTTGGCGCGTCCTGAGAATTTTTTTATTTTTTTCAAGGACTATCAGCCCTGACTTTCTCATTGGTGCACTGGTTCTGCCGCTTTTAATCAACCCAACCAAGACACGTGATGTATTGGCTCTGCCAGACAATGAATTAATTATCTCACTCGAGTATTGTCAGTGAGGACTATTTAATTGATTATAGAAAGGTTTGAGGTTTTTCCTATCAAGAAGTCCTTTTCGATAGCTGCGCCATACCAGCTGTATTACCATCAAAAATAACTTTGCCAAGTAATGTGGGGCCAGCGTCGATCTCAAGGTCGCTTCGCAACAACATCCAACTTCACTCCCTCATCATTCATCCATGGGACACAGGGCGACGCGCGCATCACACATCACCCTACGGGTCATCGTCGTCTTTCATCCCCGTCACAGTTATACCCACAAATATACGATCTGACGCTCTGCGCACCCCCCTCCCCCTGTGCGCCCACGGCCTGACCTGCACGGACGGCGCAACGAACCGAGTCGCATCCCTCGCTCCCACGACACCAAGTTCTTACCGCGCGGCTAGGCGCGTTACATCCCTTCGACCGGCTCACACCCGAAAGAAAGGTCGAGGTTGCTCCAAAGCATTACTCGGCTCGACAGGATGACCCAACAGACACCAGTCCCTCCTCCCGTGTACGGGCAGCCAGTCCCTCCGCCCGCACCACCACCTGCCGCTGCCCCAGCTGCGGCGACGACGACGGCAGCCACCGGATCGTCCATGTCCAACCAGAACTTGAATCAAATAGTAAGTGCCAGAGGTCAGCTACTGCCGTAGTCGTGAACGCCTCAGCTCAGCACACTGAATAAGTGCCTCTCCTCGAGCCTTGCCCATGTACCAGCAATGGCAGAACTATTTGCTAACCTATCACCACCAAAGGTTACCGATTACTTGCTTAAAAGGGGGTTCAACCGTACTGAAGAAATCTTTCGCCAGGAGTCGAAACATCTTGGCTCAGATGGAAAGCCGATTCACCAACCCGCATCACTCGGGCCAAAAAAGTATGGCAAAGCATACAGACTTCTCAAGGCGTGGGTGTTCAACAACCTCGACATATACAAGTTTGAGTTGTCAAAACTGCTCTGGCCAGTCTTCGTCTACTCCTACATCGCCCTCATTGAAAATGGATATACCGACGACGCCAAAATCTACCTGAAAGACATGGGCCCTCAGTTCCAAGGGGCCCATGCTGATGACTTAAAGACATTTGCCACCATCACACTGCCGGCACATACTTCCGAGAATCCCATTATCATGCTCTACAAGAAGAATAAATACAGAATTCCGCTCAACCAACATGCCACTGGGGACTTGTTCAACTTTCTCGAGCGCGAATCCGAACAGGGAGGCACAGTTATCCGTCATATTCTAGTCAATCACTGCCAGATTGATTCCACACAGCGTGGCCCCATTACTCCATTCAGCTTCGAGTCTGTTTTCCGGCGAGCCAAAAACATGGATGTGGATGATATCGATACTAGAGAGGGTGTGCCGGGTATCAAGTTGGGTCTTTCAAACAAGGATGTTCTCGATCCAGGTGCTCCTCTTCAGCTTGGCCCACTTCCTATGGAGGCTGAACTGCGCGACGATGTACGTGCCGAACTCGAGGATGAGGAAAAGCGCAATCCCTCCGCGCCGGGCACTTTGACGCTTTTGGACGAATTTGACCAAAAGATAAAACGAGAAGACAGTGATGATGCTCCAAACCGAGCTGATTTGCCTCTGCCCCCGTCAAGACCGCGAGACATAATGTTGGAGATGCAAAAGCTCCGCGAAAATAGGGACCGATTTAAAATTGAAGGTCGCACCGGGGGCGTTGGGGTCGCTGTCAGTGCCTGCATGTTCACATTCCACAATACTCTAGGCAGTGTTGCATGCATGGACTTTTCTGATGATGGGCAGCTCGTTGCTGCTGGCACTTCTGAATCATATATCAGAGTTTGGTCGTTGGATGGCAAGGCTTTGACATCCATGAATGCACACGAAAAGGACTCCAAGTTCAACAGCAGAAAACTCATCGGACACTCTGGACCTGTATACGACGTGTCGTTCTCTGACTCGGCTGCGGGCGCACCGCAGCGACTGTTTGGAAATGAAGCTCAGCCAGGTGCCAAGCTAGATACCAAGTCCAAACTGCTGTTGTCTTGCTCCGCCGATGGCCAGATTAGACTATGGTCTCTTGAGTCATGGTCCTGCCTGGCTGTATACAGGTCTCATGACGGGCCAGTATACCGAACACAATGGGGCCCCCATGGGCACTACTTCCTCAGCGGCGGCTACGACAAGACTCTCCGACTCTGGATGCAAGATCATGCTTCGCCTCAGCGCTTACTTGTTGGGCACGATACATCTCTTTCCGCTCTTACTTGGCACCCCAATGGCATGTACGCATTTTCCGCCTCTGACGAGACAGACAAGTCGATCCGCATGTGGTCTATCGTCACTGGTGGCTGCGTGCGAGTATTTTCCGGCCACACCGATTATATCAGTGCTCTAGAGTGTGCACCCAACGGTAAACTACTCGCCAGCGCGGATATTGCTGGCAACATTTTCTTTTGGGATATTGCCAAGGGTACACGTATCAAGCGCTCTCGTGGTCATGGAAAGGGTGGCATCTGGTCTTTGAGTTTTAGCGTCGAGTCCACGGTGCTTGCCTCTGGTGGGCAAGATGGTACGGTTCGCCTGTGGGATGTGGAATCTCCGGCCGACCCCCAAAAGGCGGCACAGCAAGCAGGCCTGGACGCCGGAGCGCTTGCGGGTGCGGATACTCTGAACGCGGGTGCACAGGATGTTTCCCGTTCGGTAGGAAGCGCGGCTCAGCAAGGCTCGGCCTCGACGAACGCGCCAGGCAGCTCCAAGAAGAAAGGCAAGGAGGTCATGATCACTCCAGACCAGATCAGCGCATTCCCTACCAAAAAGACGCCAGTCACCAAAGTCAAGTTCACAAGAATGAATCTGGTGGTGGTTGGAGGCTGCTACGAGCCTGAGCGATAGATGCCGTGTATCAATTTGGAGAGCAGATGGTTTGATAGTTATGGGAGGTTGAAAATGGATCGGCCGCTCAGCGGCCCTTTGGCGTTCGGAGTCGTAGTGTATGTAAACTACCTACAGGTAGGTAATTCGTACTGAAACAGGTTTAAGCATGTAATGGAGAATGGGTATACCCTCGCACTCGTTACATCCGCAAACACGCAGTTGGAAAAGAATAATCAAGTTCAGTCACAATTGGCTATAGGCTCGTTTGCTTGACTCTGTGGACGATGGTTAATGTCTACCTAATCTAACTATCTCTCTCAGTGTCAAGTATACATCTCTACTCTACCAACTTACCCGTGAGATGCGAGGAGCAAGTGGGGCGGAGCCGACCTTACGCAAGTCCAGGTGACAGAACTCCACTGACGTTGATGCTCTTGGAGCTTGGTGCCTGCCCGTCACTCCGCCACCAACCTTGCTCTCCAACGGCCTCTTCCCGCCATCAACAATACACAATCCCCGTCTGCAGGCCAATCACGTTTGCGGCATTACTACTACCACAATGGACGTCGAGGAGTCTCCGTGGGCCGACTCGAGCCAGGCCGCCAGCGCCTCACAGGGCGACGCTCTCGGCTCCCCACCAGGGTCATCGGCGACGGCGGCGACCGCCAGCACCTCGTCACCGGCGGCAGGGCGCCCCTCGCGCGGTCCTCGCCGCCTCGTCGCCCAACCCACGCGTCTCGAGGCCGTCGAGGACCCCCTCGGCCCGCTGAGCGCCTCCCATGACGACGATGCCGGGCCCGCCGAGGTGACGCCCCCGGTCCCGCCACAAAAGGAGCAGCTGGTGATGCGCACGACGATGCCGCCGCAGCAGGCCCAGCCCCGACGCCCGGCCGATCCTCACCGCATCGACGACGACCACATGGATACCGGATTCCGAGGCCCCCGCGCGCCGCCGCCCGTCGACGCCGCCCTGCCTAGCAGCAACCAGAGCAGCCAGCAGCCTAGCGTCAGCGTGGAGCAGGCCGCCAAGCCGACTTTTCACATCAGCGTCGGAGATCCAGTCAAGATTGGTGACCTTACGAGCTCTCATATTGTCTACTCTGTGCGGACAAAGGTGGGGGATCCCGGTATTCCGCATATAATGTGCTGTGATTAACATATTTGCCAATAGACTACTTCTCGAGCCTATAAGCAACCCGAATTCGAAGTGAAGCGCAGGTATCGCGATTTCCTCTGGCTGTACAACTCGCTACACACGAACAACCCCGGCTACGTGGTTCCGCCGCCCCCCGACAAGCAGGCCGTCGGTCGCTTCGACAGCAACTTTGTCGAAGCCAGACGCGCGGCTCTGGAGAAGATGCTAAACAAGATTGCTGCGCACCCGACCCTTCAACATGATGGCGATGTCAAGATATTCCTGGAAAGCGAAGCCTTTAATGTGGACGTGAAGCAAAAGGAGCGCCGTGACCCGCTGCCATCGGAGAGCAAGGGCGTGCTGGGCTCGCTCGGCATCAATGTCGGCGGCGGCAGCAAGTTTGTGGAACAAGACGACTGGTTCCACGAACGCAAGATATACTTGGATGCGCTGGAGACGCAGCTGCGCGGGCTGCTCAAGGCGATGGAGACCATGGTTGGACAGCGCAAAATGATGGCCGAGGCCGCTGGCGAGTTTTCTGCTTCTCTGCACGCCCTGTCGACTGTGGAGCTGTCGCAGTCGCTGTCGCAGCCTCTGGATGCCCTCTCGGACTTGCAGCTGACCATCCGCGACGTCTATGATCGCCAGGCGCAGCAGGACGTGCTTACCTTTGGCATCACGATTGAAGAGTACATTCGGCTGATTGGCTCGGTCAAGCAGGCATTCGGCCAGCGCCAAAAGGGCTTCTACGCGTGGCACTCGGCCGAGTCGGAGCTACAGAAGAAAAAGGCGACGCAGGACAAGCTGCTGCGCCAGGGCAAGAGTCAGCAGGACCGCCTTAACCAGATGAATGTCGAAGTGGCCGAGGCGGAGAAGAAGGTGCACCAGGCACGGCTCTTATTCGAAGACATGGGCCGCTGCATGCGCGGCGAGCTGGACCGCTTTGAGCGCGAAAAGGTGGAAGACTTCAAGAGCGGTGTCGAGACCTTTTTGGAGAGTGCAGTGGAAGCACAAAAAGAGGCAAGTATACGTGGCTCCGACGGTTCTTCTGACAATGTCTTGCTAACGTTTTATTTCATTTCTAGCTGATTGAGAAGTGGGAGACGTTTCTGATGCAGCTCGACGCCGAAGATGACGCATCAGCATTCTACAAGCCCCCGGTATACCATGCCGCGAACAAGGGCACGGGCAACACGGCCATTGACCGCGCGAGGGCGAGAATGGATGAAGATTCTGACTAAATAGTTTGCGGCTCCTGCTACTCATATTCATGGTGGTATTATATTTTTGGGCTAGGCGTTTTGCAAGGATGTCTGCGTGGTAGTTACGCCTGAACTGAATTGTAGGATAGGCCCCCTTGCAGTGGAGTGTCGTCTTAGTGAAGCTGCGAGGCAATCAAAATGAGGAGAATGAACAGTGTTGGCGTTTGATTGTTTTCTTTTCCTTGTTTATTCGGTCGTGATTTTCTTGTTGAACAAGTTGGCCGTAGCCATTTGGTGTGGTGAATAGGCCGACTAATAAAGCGAAATTGCCCGACGCTACCTTTGATATACTAGCCTCATGGTCTCCATCTTGAACCGCTTGGACCTTTTATTATTATCCGAACAAGAGTTGCACTCGGTCAGCAAAAAAGCCGCTAGTTCAGGATGACTTGGGGCAACGTGAAGGGAAAAAAAGGTCTGGAAGCATGGGGGCGATGGGGCCGACTAGGTAGTTAGCTGAGAACAGTCCTGAGACGCAAGCCACAAGCCAAGCCTTTCCTCGACTCGAGTCGTCCCTCGAAACAATTTAAAACGGCCCTGGCTGGAAATTTGCGCCGCAGTGGGGCCACATCGGGTAGGGGCAGCTGTCTGGCTCTCGCCTCGCCCCAGCCTTCAGCTGACTCTGCGTCCGCCGAGTCTCCTCCTCCCCTCCCCCGATGGGTTTCTGTTTCTTGATTGAACAACGCTTTTTTTTCTGTGTGTTGTTTGACGAGATACATACGCGCTCTCCTTTGCTCAACAACGCAGTCACTATCGCACCATATTCGCACTCGAGGCAGATATATTTCCCAATTCTTCATTCATCGCATCTTATCGCTACTAGCTGAAGGCCTCATTGGCACCCCCCCTTTCACCGAGGCCGTCCGATCCATCCGGGAGCCGGTCGCAGAGACATTCCGCCGGAAATCCCCCTCCACACTCCCTGAGACGCAGAAAAATCCTGTGCCTTTTTTTCCTTTTCTCAATCATAAAAAATGGACACTATTCGCATTCTCGACCAACAAATTGACAGGTCCCTGTGGCCCATTGAGCCGACCGAGGCCGCCCAGTACCACTTCATCTGGACGGCCCCCAAAAAGCGCCGCGCGGGCGACAGCGGGCGACGGCGGCCCAGGGAAGACGACGAGCGTACGATAGCGTCGGCAGCGTCTGCAGAGTCCGACGCAAGGAACCAGAAGGGCTCGGCGACGGAGAGGGGGACCGGGCTGCTGCGCGTGGTGCGGCGCAGCGTCATTGAGGGCCCGCGGAGACGGATGCAGAAACTGCTCGGCAAGGGACACAAGGCGACGGCGGCGCCGAGTACGATGCAAGAGCAAGAGTGTGCTGGGCAGAGGAGGTGGTCGGAGGTGACGCTCGTGGAGTGCGGGAGCCGTCAGGAGGAGCGCAAGGGGACGAAAGAGGAACACAGACTCGAGTGACTGCGCTCTTCTGCTTCTCCTTTCAAGTGGTTTTTTTCTTCGTTGCTCCGCGCTGGCGAGTCTGCATTCGAGTCTTCCTTCTGACGGTGACTCGCCTCCGGCCTACAATCTGGCTGACCTTTTTACCCTCTGCCATTTTTACCATCTTGTCCTGACGGATGCCACGGTAGCATTCGTATAGACAAGGACATTGCGATACCCCCGTACAACTTGTACATTCCGTTTCTATATGGAACATTATATAGTTATGACATGATGTCCGTTCACATCCACCTGTCCTATATCTCCATCTTTTAGCCCCCAAGACAAAGACCAGGGTGACAGTCACTGGCGGTGCATTGTCGTATCTGTAATAGTGTAATATTGTTGCAATGTTTCTGGAGCCAGAGAAGTTCCTATGCAAATGTACATGATGTTACAAATCGGCCGCAAGCACCGCAAACCACCCCTAGGAGCAAGTCTGTCCAGGCCATGCCCACTCTCCGCACTATTTACTTGCGCTTCCCAGGAAGAGACTTTTTCCACCCGCTTTCCTTCATGGCACCCGTATCCTTGGGCGCGTACCCCGCCAGAAGATCCGCAAAGGCGTCTCCCGTGCCCGACGCTCCCTCGGTCTTGGACGCAGGCGCGGCCTCGGCCTCGGCGGCGGCAGCGGCAGCGCCCTCCTCCTCGCCAGCCGCACTGGCCGCATCAAAGCCGCGGCCGAAACGCTCACGAAACGCCGCCAGGCGACCGGCCTCGTCGAGCTCCACGTTGCGCAGCGACCGGTCGGTGGGCTGCCACAGCAGCGCGTTGCGCGTGTCCTTGGCCGGTCGGTACAGCGGCTCGGGCGATGTCGTCCGCATCGTGTACGTCGAGCCGTCGGTGAGCCGCACCATTTGCGTAAACTTGTATGGCCGGCGCGGCCGCGCGATAAAGGTGGCGTGACGGGCGTGGGCTCGAAGGGACGCCGGCGTTATTGTGGTGTGTGTGGTGGTAGTGGTGGTGGTGGAAAGGAGGCACGAGGTGCTGGCGCGTGTCGGCGCCAGGGCGACGGGGAGTCGAGCCATGGCGGTTGCGGCGAGTATCTCTAGAGGCCGTGTGTATGGATGGATGGGACGTGTCGGGGTTTAGTGGTCAATTGGCGATTGAAATGGAAGGTAGATTGGTTTCGAGAGGTTTGGATGTCCTGGAGTTCAAGAGTGCGGCCTGAGGTGGCTCCGCAAAATTTCCTGTCCTCAGCCACGGGTATCGATAAGCCCCCAGGATGTCGAGACTTGGGAGCTAGCTCTACACATGAAGACTACATGAATACCTCGGCGCATTGCAACGCTTGCCATTGCTTTGTATCTATACGCTCTTTTAACACATACATCCTCATTTCGTTCCCGTTTGGTTGGATCTCGCTCCTTTGATCTGCCGCTGCGTCCCGCAATGTGCAATACTTGGCCATGAAGCTCCTCACAGCAATGCGGCCTTTGCCGCGCTCAACCTCCCGCATATCCCTACCACAGCCGCGCGCAGCTCCATTAATACCCCGGATACGGCAGTGCACGAGGCACTTTGGAATGATGCAAGTGGTGAGAAGAGTGCAGGACGGAGTTGGCGTTGCAATTGGCTTCTGTGACACGGTGACCGGCCGTCCGCTCTCAACAATTCTGCCGAAAGAGCTGGCGCCGTTAATACAGACCGTGACCGGTCAAGGCCCTTCGAAATGTACGATCCAATACTACATTCGTATTCTTCCAGCTGCTAATGGCGTCTTCATAGATATACAGAGCCGCGGCTTCCGACCATCGGCATCACACCCCGCACCATGGCACGTCGCGCCTCCATCGCCGCCTACGACCGATCTCAAGGCTCCGAACCCTCCACCCGAGCAGCTGCGCGCCGTCATGCGTCTTCTATCGCAGTCCGTGGTCGTTTGCACGGCGGCTGGGCCCGACAAGATCCCCCGCGCCATGACCATGTCGTCGTTTACGTCGCTGACGCTCCAGCCGACGCCCGTCATCACGTTCAACGTGGCGACGCCGAGCCGCACGCTCGACTCGATCGCGGCCAGCCGCGGGCTCAATATACACATACTATCCGGGGACTCGAGTGGAGCGGCCGTCGCCGACCACTTTACACGAGGCAACGTCGGCGGCGACGTCTTTGCGGGACTGGAACATGTCGTGCTGGAGCAGGACGCGGACGGGGCCGCGCCGCCGCTATTACGGGGCAAGGGTGTGGTGCATGTGCTCCGGTGCAAGCTGTTGGGGGATGAACCGTCGCGAGGCTTGATCAAGGTGCGGGATCATATGATTGTGGTGGCGGAGGTGGTGGAGATGATACCCGGCGTGGAAAGCAACGAGTTTGGACTGGCGTATGCGGACCGCAAATACCGGCAGGTGGGAGGTGTTATTTCGAATGAGTAGAAGGCGTCTGGATGCAGAGCTGCATTGAATTTGTAAATATTACGGGAATTAATGCCGTTGATTGGATGCTGTGATTGCGCCATGGTATCATGCCTACCACATTTGTGTTGGAGCCTGGACGCCGGCTTTTGATGCAGTGTCTCAGTACGCGAATAGCTATACATAACGACTCCAGCTGCAATCAAGTGCTTGACATTCGGGATTTATTAGGCAACTTCGGGCACGCATGCAGGAATGGCTGAGCCGAAGTCGCGTGTGTTGGTCTGAGGCATCGATAAGATAAGCCATATTTTAATGGGGCTTTTGGGGACCCTGGTGGCGGTTGTCAAGGCAGGTGGAGGCTGGCGAGAAGCTTCCAGAGAGGCCAACGGTTTGAATGCGGAGGTGAGACGAATGTGACTGGTACAAAGGAGACCGTGTTTTTGCATTGGACACGAATGAGGCTTCTACGTAATTTACTGGTGGAAGCCTCATCGCACAATCAGCCTCCCGAATTTTGTCTGTGCCTTGCGGCCTGGGCGTTTTGGGGTTGCAGTGAATGTTTGCCGTGTTCAACCAACCCCGCCAGCGGCCAGGCTGCAGTAACTTGGTAGGCGTTTTGGCGGGGGACACAAAAAAAAAGGTTCCATTTTTTTAGCAGGTGTTGGCGGTTGCCTCGAGGCCTGCGATGGTGCTAGAAACATCCCCCTGCGCCCAGCTCCTTCCCGGCCAATCACAACCCCCCCATCCGGTTGCCGTGGAAAAGGTACCGCATGTTACTCCGTAGAATCTCATGGAAACACTGGATAGTGGCGGGCAGGCCAAACGCAGCAGGCTGGCACAACCCTTTTTAGCTCGACCTCTTTTCCTCTCCGCCTATTTCTTTCCTCTTGGTTTTTTTTCTTCATCAAACACTTTTTCACATACCCTCAATCCTCTTCATCCCCAGTGCTCATCGACCTTTAGACATTCCATCTGTCTAGAGCTTCGCATCTACCCTCTGCCTTTCCATTAAAAGCGTCTAGGTAAGCTTCTGCCCCCGAGAGCGTTGCTGGCAGCTGGCTGGATAGACGGCTCTTTCTTGAAGAGTTGGCGGGAACTTGAGCTGCAGGTACCTCTGCTAGCTCAACAGGTTCATGGCAACGTTGTGGCGACCGATTGGTCAAGCCAACGCCGTCTGCGGCACCGCTCCCGCCATCCATCCATGGTCACCTCTTGCAAGTTCTCAGCACAACCTCTTCACCCTGCTAATTCGATTTCCAGAATCACAAACCCTTTGATACCCGTCACTATGGCTGAGACTTTCGAGTTCCAGGCTGAGATCTCTCAGCTCCTCTCCCTCATCATCAACACTGTCTACTCCAACAAGGAGATTTTCTTGAGAGAGCTGATCTCCAACGCCTCCGATGCCCTCGACAAGGTTCGCTACAAGGCGCTCTCCGACCCTTCCCAGCTCGACTCTGGCAAGGATCTGCGCATCGACATCATCCCCAACAAGGAGGCTAAGACTCTTACCATCCGTGATACCGGTATTGGTATGACCAAGGCTGTATGTTTTCTACCACAATATTCTATACTCGAGAGCTCGACTAACTCTTTCTGCAGGACCTCGTCAACAACCTTGGTACCATTGCCCGCTCCGGTACCAAACAGTTCATGGAGGCTCTCACCGCTGGTGCCGATGTTTCCATGATTGGTCAGTTCGGTGTCGGTTTCTACTCCGCCTACCTCGTCGCCGACCGGGTTCGCGTCATTTCCAAGCACAACGACGACGAGCAGTACATCTGGGAGTCTTCTGCTGGTGGTACTTTCAACATTACTACCGACACCGAGGGCGAGCAGTTCGGTCGCGGTACATCCATTATCCTCTACCTCAAGGATGAGCAGGCCGACTACCTGAACGAGTCCAAGATCAAGGAGGTCATCAAGAAGCACTCCGAGTTCATCTCGTACCCCATCTACCTCCACGTCACCAAGGAGACCGAGAAGGAGGTCCCTGACGAGGACGCTGAGGTTGAGGAGGTCGACGACGACAAGAAGCCCAAGGTCGAGGAGGTCGACGATGAGGAAGAGGAGAAGAAGAAGAAGACCAAGACCATCAAGGAGACCAAGGTCGAGGAGGAAGAGCTCAACAAGCAGAAGCCCATCTGGACCCGCAACCCGCAGGACATCAACCAGGAGGAGTATGCCTCGTTCTACAAGTCGCTCTCCAACGACTGGGAGGACCACCTCGCCGTCAAGCACTTCTCCGTTGAGGGTCAGCTCGAGTTCCGTGCCATCCTCTTCGTCCCCAAGCGTGCTCCCTTTGACCTCTTCGAGACCAAGAAGACTAAGAACAACATCAAGCTCTACGTCCGCCGTGTCTTCATCACTGATGATGCCACCGAGCTCATCCCTGAGTGGCTCTCGTTCGTCAAGGGTGTCGTTGACTCTGAGGATCTTCCCCTCAACCTGTCTCGTGAGACTCTTCAGCAGAACAAGATCATGAAGGTCATCAAGAAGAACATTGTCAAGAAGTCTCTTGAGCTCTTCCAGGAGATTGCCGAGGACAAGGAGCAGTTCGACAAGTTCTACAGCGCCTTCTCCAAGAACCTCAAGCTTGGTATCCACGAGGACTCCCAGAACCGCAACATCCTTGCCAAGCTCCTCCGCTTCAGCTCGACCAAGTCTGGCGATGAGCAGACCTCTCTCACCGACTACGTCACCCGCATGCCCGAGCATCAGCAAAACATGTACTACATCACCGGCGAGTCCACCAAGGCCGTCGTCAAGTCTCCTTTCCTCGACGCTCTCAAGGAGAAGGGCTTTGAGGTCCTCTTCCTTGTCGACCCCATTGATGAGTACGCCATGACTCAGCTGAAGGAGTTCGAGGGCAAGAAGCTGGTTGACATCACCAAGGACTTTGAGCTCGAGGAGACTGAGGACGAGAAGAAGGCCCGCGAGGCTGAGGAGAAGGAGTTCGAGGATCTTGCCAAGGCTCTCAAGAACGTTCTCGGCGAGAAGGTTGAGAAGGTTGTTGTCTCCCAGAAGCTCGGCCTTTCCCCCTGCGCCATTCGTACCGGCCAGTTCGGTTGGTCCGCCAACATGGAGCGTATCATGAAGGCTCAGGCTCTCCGTGACACCTCCATGTCCAGCTACATGTCCTCCAAGAAGACCTTCGAGATCTCCCCCAAGTCCCCCATCATCAAGGAGCTGAAGGCCAAGGTCGAGGCTGATGGCGAGAACGATCGCACTGTCAAGTCCATTGTTCAGCTCCTCTTCGAGACCTCGCTGCTTGTCTCTGGATTCACCATTGACGAACCTGCCGGTTTCGCTGAGCGCATCCACAAGCTTGTCCAGCTCGGCCTCAACATCGAGGAGGATGATGCTGCTCCTGCTGAGGTTACTGCCGAGACCGATGCTCCTGCTGCTGTCCCTGCTGACAGCGCTATGGAGGAGGTTGACTAAATTTCTTCAAAGCAGCCAAAAATCGGGATTCAGGATTCAGGACGAAAAAAGTTCTTCGGAGTTTGATATGCTTTTGAACACACACTTTACCTGTGTGGGCCAGAGTTGGCTTTTTTACGAGTTTTATTTGTTTGCGCAATGCCATAATTTCCCCTGCGTGCTGGTTGAGACGGCACGAGGTGTATTCTAGCTGTCCATGATTATGAGTTAGACGAGGTAGATAACAATGATTTACCAAATAACTTTTCGATGCACGGGAATGTGATGCTGTACTAGGCAGATTAACTGCTGCTGCGCCGTGCTATGTGGCCTTGCCAGCGCCGCGGATGATGCATTTGGTAGAGGTAGTGGAGGAAAGTTAGCATTGTGAATTGCCATGGCTGGGTATGTGATGGATGCAAGTAGGCTATGAAATGATGGATGCAAATAGTCTAATGTACAAGTACCTATGTACAAGGATGCCCTCTTTGGCCACTCCTCATACCAGCACGTAAAGGGCACAAATGAGGGACAGGCCCATGATCATGGAGGACCAGAAACAGACATTGTTGAGGGTCCTCCTGCCGCGGACCCATGGTGTGCGCTGCAGCATGACAATGGGCAGCTGGAGCATCTGGCAGATGAAGCCGTAGCCGCGGAGCTTCTTTGTGATGCAGCCCATGACGATTTCGTGGCCGACGGCGGAGATGAGAAAGGTGAGGGCGGTGGCGCCGGCGCGTCCGGTAAAGGGCCTCGAGGCCGAGTAGACGTGGCGGCGCAAAAAGGCGTGGACGGGAATGTTCCACTCGCGGGAAAACTCCATCCAGTCGGTCGAGTTCCACCAGTCGGCGTAGAAGCGGCGGTCGGCGAAGCGCGTCATCTCGGCCATGGCGCCGAGGACGTACTCGAAGATGACGAGGAAGACGAGGAGAAAGGTGAGCATAAAGGGGAAGAGCAGCCAGGAAATGGTCTCGGCGAGGACGAGGAGCGTCTCGGCGAGGGAGGAGTGCGACGGCGTGGCGGCAATGGTGGCGAGCCGGGCCTCGGCGTCGGCGAGCACGGGCAGGATGAAGTCTTCCGAGGTGATGGTGAGGAGGAAGATGCAGCCAAAGACGGCGATGATCTTGGAGATGAGCGACGTCCAGTTTATGGTGGGCGTGCGCGGGTACTCGATCTCGTAGCAGAGGGTCGGGCAGAAGAGGAAGTCGAGGTAGTTGGCCCAGGTCAGGTTGCGCGGGTAGGTGACGTGCCCCATGGGGGAGGTGAGCTCGCGGGCGAGGGCGTCGCGGAGGAGCTCAATCTCGTCGTCCGAGTCGCATTCGTGGTCCGTCCTGGCTGTGTCGTTGGTCGTCGTTTCCGGCTCCGACGACGGAGACTTGCCGCGGGTGGTGGGCGAGGTGGGCGCCGACTGCGGCTGCGTGCCGTCGTCGTGCTTGCCGGCGTGGTACAGATGCACGTCCTCCTGGCCGCCGGCGAGGTCGACGGCCAAGCCGGCCTTGCTAGTGCGGCGGCTGACATCGGCGACGGGGTAAATATACGGCGGGGAGCGGTCCTCGGTGCCCCTCGCGGTCGGGGCGTCGAGGCGGCAGAGGCGCTTCTCCGTCTCGGACAGGTGGCCGTTGTAGAAGGCGTACGAGTGCATCTTCATGAGCAGCACCATGGTGTGCAGCAGCAGAAACACCTGCGCGGTCCAGGTCCACTCGAGCCAAAACGGCACCGCGACCCAAAAGGCGAGCCACGCGACCTGGTAGAGGCTCTGGACGGCGACGCCGCCGCGGCGCCACGTCCAGCACCCGTCCTGCGGCGCGGCGCGGACGGCGCGGTGCAGCGGGAGGGCGACGGCGGTGGTGGCCACCATGAGAAAGTCGGCCGCGGCCAGGTGCCACAGCTTGACGGTGAAGAGGGACCAGATCTCAAAGGTGAACGGGTAGCCCGTGTCCTTCATGTGGCGCAGCATGGTGGTCAGGCCCATGATGGCGAGGCCGATCCAGAAGAGGTTGAAGAAGCCGTGGAAGTCGCGGTGGTCCGAGTCCGGGTCGAGGTGGGAGAGGCGCGAGGCGAAGTCGGTCGTGGGGAAGATGCGGCGGTGGTGGATGATGCTGCGCTGCTCGGCGCGGAGCGTCTTGCGCGCCGACGAGAGCGCCTTGTTGGACGGGGGCGCATTCTCGGGGACGGGAGTCGAAGTGCCGCTGGGAAGTGATTTATTTTGTTAGCAATGGGATATGTCGGTAGCCTGGAGGGGCAGAGCGAAACGCACCTGGTGGCGGTGCTGGCGGTGCTGGCGGTGCTGGTAGTGCTGTCTTGGTTCGGGGCCGCATGCCCAGTGCTGCCAGCCTTGCGTTTTCGGACATGGTCTACGTCGCGGTTTCGGACAACGTCGGTCGCCGTGGTGGCCATAACGGGGCTGGATTAAGCGTTTCACCAACAAGTGGTTCGTGTTGTTGCAGAGAGGAAAGGTTGGTGACGTGAGGATGTCGTCTGGTGTAGAGGGGGAGCTTTCCTTTTTAAAGTGGATACAGGTGTCAAGCCAAAGTGTGCCATGACGAAATAGCCGATTTGCTAGGTACGGAGTATTACGGATACAACGGACTCTTCGTAACACCGCGTTGCCTGACGCGCCACGGGAGCTCCGGCGCATAGCTGGCATCTGTGATTATGAGTTATGAGTTACATTGCTGTGTACACAGTACCCGTGCTCCCCGTTTCTGCCGAGTCAAGTGATAGACTGTGGAATAAGCCCAGAAAATATGGCCGCCCTGGCTCTATCCAGAGTGTCCCCGACTCAGCCGGCTCGCAAAACTACTGTTTGGTGGTGGATACTACTGGCCACTCCTAGTTCCCGTGAACCGCCCAGCCTGACTACACTAGATGTACTGGCAGGCCTTGGCGGCAACGGGATACTCGGAGGGCTCGCGACGCGGACAGAGAGCCTGAACGACAAAAGACCACACAGAAGCCCATACAGACAATGGAGCACGGATGAGAACCATGAGGTTTGTAACTTGGTCGTGCAAGATTGAGCATCAGCGCAGTATTACGGGGTGTTCAGGTCCCGGAAGCCAGCCTGTTAGTCAGCAATAGCACCTTCCGCGATTCTTGACTGATTGGAAGTCTGGATATTGAATGAGGATCCTTCGATGACTGCTTAGTTCGATTGATAAAGCTAAAATCTCGGCTAATACGTAAGTATCGCCTTGAACCCCCCCGTCTACTAACGGTATACATAGTTATGAAGGCTGAGGTGCATCCTTTTAGGGTAGCTACTTCTAGTAGAAAGAGTATACATATATGTTGAACTTGCTCCTCCTATCATCTTAATTTAGAGGTAGGTAACCTCTTGTTAAAAGTCCGACTACATCTGGCCCGGTGTAGTTTCGGTTCGCGGTCGGGGAAAGTAAAGAAGACAGCATTTTTGCAAATGAGAGAAGACAGATAGTCGAAAGCTATATGCGGGTTAACTCCCCAAGGTTTTTGGTCAGTTCTTTACCCCGTATCTGCGATGACACCGTAACTATATCGGGAACAGAAAAAGTCGTTGAGCAGTGGCCTCATATACGACTTCTCATACATTAATGTGCGCCAGCCTGACGTGTCATTATGGACTCACTGGGCTATCCTACCCCGGCAGCCTTTTGCGAACCAATATTATGCACAACCATGGCTAGAGTGGCATTGCGGGCCTAAGGTATGGATGGATGGATGCCTTCCGTCACCCGCTGCCCAATGAACCCCCGCGTCGAATGCATCGCATTTTCTAAGACGCAGGCGAGAATCCCTACTTCACTAAGATGTTATTATATAAGGTGGGCACGTAGCACCGCAGTCACCCGCTGAACTAACATCCTTCTTCCTCCACGTCCACTTTCAAGCCCAACGTTACAATCCCGAGACCCAACAACCAAGAAAGTAAGAAACATAGAAGCCGTCCATTTTCGCAATGCTGATCAATGACCAGACATCAACATGGCGGACAAAGCTGAAGCTAGCTCAAGTTCTGGCACCGATGCCGGTGTCACGATTGGCACAGCGACCGCGCGACCGATTTACGGCGTTCCAATATCGATGGCACAAGTGAGACAGTTGTCAACCTCTGGCAAGCAAGCTCAACTCCGCGGAAAGAAACTTCAACGACCTCCAACACCCCCAAAGAAGAATAATGAGGGAAAATGAGCGGCTATCGAAAACATGTTATGTTGGATCTTCGAAAACTTGATCCAGTTCCTTTTGGTACTTCTCTTGATCTCGTAGTTTTCGGTCGATGATGTCTGAGATATTAGGTCGCCATGTAAGGGCGGCGAGGCTGTAGTCGGCTTTGCTGAGCTCGTTCGCCGTAATAGCAAAGTAGCTAGCTAAGATGTTGTCGTACATGATTTGATTAAAGGCAATTGGATCCCTCAGAGCCAGTGTGAACCAAAACGTGCCGTTTTTCCATGTTTGCTCCATGATAGATGAGAGGGACTCTCTGTCTTGATAGTTCTGGAGCTTCTCCTCGTGTCGCAGGTGCTCAAGGAATTCTGCATGCTTGGGTGCAAAGTCGTCAGGTGCCATCTCGTGCACCATTTCAACGTCAAGCCAGCACGACGGTGATTCGAGAAACTCAACCGGCAACGAGCAAGCAAACTCGAGGTCGATAATACATGTGATTCTCCAGTCCTTATCGACAAAAATGTTACTTTTGTGAAGGTCAGTCAAAGAAAGCATAAATGGGCCGTTGGAAAGGTCATGTCGGAATAGTTGCGGGAAGATGGACCTTGCAACAGCTAGACCAGACATTTGGTCGAGTGCATCCTCACGGCTCGTAATTGAATTTGGCTGATAAAGTAGGCGATTATCAAAAGTCGTTAGACAAGAGAGCACAAACTCCGTCACACTCGGAAAGGTCGTATCGCGGGATATGTCAAGTGGCAAACCTTCATTTTCATGCATAATGGATTGCACATTTAGCGGCCGATTAGCTAAATGTAAATAGCCATTGCAGTCGAGGCGAAATGAGCCGATACGTGGCAGGCTAATACGAGACAGCGAGATAAGTATCCTAGATAGGTCACGTTGTAGGTTTGTTCGAAGGCGAGTGCATCCACGGTGATCGTCCCAAGATTCTGAAAGCATCTCCCCACGGTCCGCCGTAATCGTTTCGATGATGAGGTATCCGACATCAAGGGCGGCAAATCGGCTCGAGGAGTGATGGACATACGAGGAAGGTTGTTGAAAGCGCAAAGCAGCAAGTACAAATCGGCGAAGATGTTGCAAGCAGCGTGACCACCAAGGAAGAAGCTCAAGATGCGTAAACTACACAGGGCAGTCAGCAGTGGGCGGGCACGTACAAGTCGCGGCACGTACCCTTCGATTCGTAGATAGACCAAAGCCATAAAGCCGTGGAATAGGAATAGACGGGCAGTTCTCTTGTAGCCATGCATATGTTGCGGCTTCGCAATTCAACTTCTCGTCAGAGTTGCCAGGTCTCCCCGCCTCGCCAACGCGGTATGGTAAGGGGAAGCGGATAAACACATGTTCGGGAATCTTGGGCTGAGCTGACTGATGGGCTCGGACAGCGATAGGCACACAGAGATTGAAGGATCCGTGGCGCCAGTAGTCCTGGGGAGAAATATCAATATCGCTTGGTTTGGTGCCGAGGTGGTGTGCGACAACTTCAGCAATAAGGGTCCGATGACCCTCTATGCGCTTGTAAAAGGCGTCCTTTTGTGACGGATATTGCAGAGCGTGAAGGATGTTGCTGCTCCGAGCTTTGGCATCGGTGGCGGTGATGGGGCCGGAGAGTAGACTGCGCGTCGCCATGGTCAGCTCCTTGGAGATGAAAGGGGGGAAGATAACAATCTAGATATTGATATTGGGGAAGGAACTAGTGCTGCTTTGCCGATGACGCAGGGGGAATCATGTGACCGCCCCCTTGTACCTGGCGATAATAATGTATCTTTTGGAAAAGAGCCTAATTGGTGTGCTTGAATAAATAAATGTATCTTTTGGCTGACTTTGATCCCGTCGCCAGGAGTCAGCCGCTTCACAATTTTCCATATTCCCTTCTACTTCTGACGCCGTCGTTCTCGCCAGGACACCCCTGATGATAGCCAAGGGATGACGGTTGGCTCAGCCATACCGACGTCAAACTCACGCACTCGCCGCGAAGTTCAAGCTCTCGCCACATGATGAGTTCCCAGGCCTCCGACAAGGCTGTTGACAATTAGTCAATCAGATGCAAGTCGCGTAGCAGCAAAACCTAGATCCACACTTGCACTAAGTACATAGGTACTGTTCAACACCATTACCATTTGCGAGAAACCCCAGTTACAATTTTAATCCCACGACTCTAGATTTTTTATTAAGGATGTTCCTAAGAGAACAGGCTTCGTGGCATCACTTTAATCACTTCTCTATTTTTATTTTATTTTTATTCCAACTCTATTACGCATTGATGCACTTTTTCTCTCGTTCTCCTCACATCTCTCATCTATGCCACATATTGGCGACAAAAACATGAAAGAGCGAATCAATTAATCGCGGTTGTGATCGACACCGTTGACCCGCCGTGCCGAAACTCTAAATCTGTAGATTGTCAAGATTGGAAGATGCAGCCCTGTGAAACTCTAAACAAGCTACATACAACCGGTTGTAGGGATGAGTTATATGTGCGCGTCATCTTATTGGCTGGACTGACCAGCTTCTATAGAACGGGCTCACAACCAGCGAGCAACACTTGAACAAGCTCTAGCCCAAAACCCTCTCTGCTCTTTCCTTTGCGTTTTCTAAACCGGGTTTGAGCCGGCTTGCCCCTTCGACGGCTCGCCGGCTTATCAGTCAGTTACAAGGGCTGATGAATTTAATATGAACAAGACAAACAACAAGGTGAGCAGGAAAGGGTGAGTAACTCAGATAAAGTAAATACACTACTAAATAAAAATTGATAAAAAATTAACGACTGTCGCCTACCATTGCTGACCATCCAGCGTCACCACCGAATCCACGCCCCTCAGACACCTGTGATCGGGCCACGATGGTATGGCGCCGCCAAACCCCAATCCACATGCAGCCACCACGCGCCCTGCAGCTGGCCGAGGAACTGTGCAAACCACCGCGCGTCGTTGCTGCCGAGGAAGATGCAGTAACCGTCGCCGCCGAGGTGCAAGCGGCGCGCAAAGCCCTCCAGGCCCTCGCAGGCCCGGACGCGCCGCTCTTTCAGCTTCTCATTGGCCGCAGCGCCGGCACGCCACCCGGGGTCCACGACGTCATCGACGCCGCGAATAATGTACAGCGCGGATCGCAGCGCCGGGACGCGGGAGCCGCCGCCGCCGCCGGTCGAGGCGCGCGACGTGCGGCGGCGGTGCGGCGGCGGGCCGTCCGCGCCGAGGGGCCGGCGGGCGAAATCCTTGGCCTCGCAGTAGTAGACGTGCTCAATCATGTTCGTTGCCAGCCACGCACTCGCCATGCGATCCATGGTGTCGGCGAGGTCGCTGCGGTCGCGGCGGCCGAGGTCGCTGGCGTACACGAGGCGAAACGTCAGCAACTTGCACTCGAGCTCGAGCAGGTGCAGTGTCATGCGCAGCACTGGTGCGTCAGTCCAGGGCCGGCGGCGCCAGAAGGGGCGGCTCACGAAGCTCTTGCCCGCCACCGGCGACTGGCGTGCATAGTTGACGCAGACAAAGTCGTCGCGGTAGGGGCGGCCGGCGCGGAGTGTAGGAGAGGCGCGGACGGCCGCGCGGCCGCGCTGGGCGGCGACGTCAAAGTCGACGCCCTCGCGCAGGAGCTCGTGGTAAAAGGCGGCGAGGTACGTCCGGACCGTGCCGTGGTGGACGTAGTACCACATGGCCGAGACGTGGCGGATGCCGCGCCGCAGCAAGAGGTGCGCCAGGCTGGTGGCGCGCGAGGAGACGTTGTAGGCGGAGAGGCAGGCGTTGAGGACCACGGCCTCGACGCCGTGCTCGACGAGCAGGTCGGCGACCTCGCCGGCGGCGGCGAGCCGCGTCTGCGGCAGGTGGTAGCCGTTGTTGCTCTGCGTGGTGGAGGTGCGGCTCGTAAATAGCAACCACGGCACGGCAACGCCGTATCTAGCGCCCACGTCGTCAGTTCTACGGCGTTCCCCCGCCCTCTGTTGGTGCGCATCTTTTGTGCCGCGACAGCAACTCACTGGTCTGGCAAAACCTGCCCGTGCAGGTCGAAATGCACTAGGTTAAACTGCACGCCCTGGCGGCTCCGCGTGCGCAGGTGCTCGCGGAGCCCCTCGAGACAGCCCGGCCGCACCACCTCGAGAAGCATCCTGCCACGCAGCTTCCGCTGGATAGTCATGAGGGGCCACTGCGCGAGATCCGGGTCCGAGTCGCGGGCGGCGCCGGTCCGGGAGAAGTCGCGGGCTACGACCAGCAGGATCCTATAGGTGCCCGGCGACGGGTCGGCCTGCGCCAGCGTCTGCAGAAGCCCTGGCGGCACGATGGGCGCAAACTCCGTCACCCTGTTGACGCGCAGCCGCAGGTCCGGCCGCGCGGGCAGCCGGAGGGACTCGAGCAGCTCCCACGCGAGGCGGTGGATGCCGGGGGTGGTATCATGGTGGTCCGTCTCGTGGTGGTGCTCGACAATGTAGAGCTGCAGCTCCGTGGCCTGGGGCCGCACGAGCTCATCTTGGAGACGCAGCTGGCTCAGCAGGGCGTGCGCATAGCCGTCGATTTGGCGCTCCACGCGGGCAATGTCGTCCTCGCTGCCCAGCCGCTGGGCCGCGTCGTCGCCCTTGGTGCGCAGGTACCGTTCGAAGACGGCGTGGTAGTCGGCGTCGACAAAGGGATCGACGACGACGACGACGTCGTGGACGTGAGGACCTGGCTGCTGCCCGTGGCGGCGCACCGTGAGCTTCCAACAGCGGTGCGGCGGTGCGGCGTCGACGCTCTCTGCCGAATGTCCTGCGTAGGACGAAATGTATACAGTGTCCAACATCTGTAAGCCCAGATCCCCTTGGTTCGGTGCTCCGTGTCGTTTCTGTTTGGTCTTGTGCGTTGATGTAACGTATGTACCGGCCTGGTTAATGTGCCTGAAACTGAGGGGGGGGAACGACACGGGTATAAATGTAGTATTGGGTATATTTATCGTCTTTCTTGTCTAGGTCAAATTGTCAACGGCGACATGCACAATTGTATCGCGATGCTAGCGCCGATGAACGCCACAGCGCCTTAAATCGATCCCGCCGGTTCACCACTTTTGCGGAGAAGAGCGTTTGCTCACCGAGTAGATACAAACACATAGGATCCAGCTGCGTCATATTCCGATGCTCCTTTTCCCAAGTCTCCATTGCGATGCGAATCGGGTCGACACACTGTCTACCGAACCAGAATGTCCTGTCGCAGTCTGTAGAGATACGCCCAGGATGGTAAGTCGACAGGAGCTGGAGGCAGCCATCTCATACTTTCTCTGGCAAGTAACAGTTTGGCAGTACCCCGAAATACACACAGTCAGACTCCTCCTAAGCTGCTGATCCCCTCGTTGCTCACAACATGCCACTTCACCAAGAACCGGATCACGGCCATCGCGTGATCCAACCATCGTAGACAGCACAACACAAAACATGGAAAAAAAGTAACCATCAAACGAGGAGAAATTTGCCAATTCATTAAAAAGATTTCTAAACAGAAAAACGCCACCGTGGATAGAAACCCAGGGTGCCGGCACAATTGCGTCCAGCATCAGAAATCCACTAAATAAACGAGAGTGTGTCTGGTGTACCAAGTTCGCCATACAGTCCCGCAAACTCGACTTGTCCGTCTTGTCCAGTGCCAGAAAGAGACACACAAGTCCAATGTAGAGACTTGTAGAAAATCAAAACCTAATCCGTATGCAAAAGATGGCCCGGCCCAAGTAAAGGAAACCAGATCGTAAAAAAATATCAACTCCGTCCCAAATGCTCACAGGCATGGATTCCACGACGAGTTTCTCCATGCCCGAATCAGTCCATAATGTGTGTGATTGTGTGTGTGTGTGTGTGTTTGTGTAAAAATATCATCAAGACATGTCTCGTTTCAGCAACGCGAGGGAAAAAATAAAAATAAAAAGCAAGTAAAAAACAGACAGATCGCACATTGGTCCTTGGGTAAGGGCCCGACAGAGTAGTCATGCCCGCACACCGCCGCCATACTGATATTCGCTGTAGCGGACGTCTCCGTACTTGGCAACGTTGATGACGTTCGGGTAGCGAACGCCGGGCGGTGCATGCATGGGCTCCCGGTAGGCGGCGGCGCCGCGCGTGTCAGGCCCGCGAACAGGTTGCTGCTGCGCGTACATGTAGTGGCCGTGGCCACCATCCACGTCTAGCGGGGGCTGCGTGCGGTGACTGCGGCGGGTGCCAGAGTCCACCTCGTAGCGAAAGACGGACGGGGGATGAGGCTCGGGCGACGTCGTCCTGCGACTACTACGATGCCTGCGCTCTCGCTCGAATTCGTCATCAGACTCAGAGATCTCGATGTGCGCCTGGGGGTGATTGCGGGATCGGTCACGGCCGTGAGGCATTTCGGGGGCAGCATAGGTGTGTGAGCGCGTCATACCCGGGCCGGGCCGCGTAAAGCTGGGTTGCGGCATCGAGTTGGTGCGGGGAAGCTGCATGTCGTGGCGTGGCGGCGAGCTGCCCATAGGTACCGACCGACTAAAAGACGCTGTGTGGCGGGCGGCAGCCGAAGAAGCAGCATGAAGGGTGTCCTCAAGGACCTCGTGCGAGGCTTGGCGGTAGGAGCGCTCACGCGAAAGACGCGGGCCGTCGCCGGAGCCGCGGCGCGCGGGTGCCGAAGACCGGCGGACATAATCATCGGAATCTGAGTCCTCCACGAGGTACGTCTTCTTGCCATTGGATGGCGGCGGCGAGGGCGCGGCCGGGTACGCGGGACGGGTCGTGTATGAGTGGGAACGATTTAAGCTCGGGGGACCGCGCGAGGCTTGCACGTACGAGGATGCGCTCTCGTAGGTGGTACGGTCCGTGGGGGAGTAGAAGGTGTTGCTGATGGGAGGGCGGGACGAAGAAGTGGGCTTGTCATCGCGCGGCGAGGTGCGGCCGGCCTTGTCGTCGTGTTTCTTGGTAGATCGTTTGCGCTCCGACTTGGGCAGTTCATCTTCGAAGACCTCAACCGAGGGCTTGGCGTTGCGGGAGCGGTACTTTTCTTCGTGGTCGCGCTTGATCTCTCGGTCACGCTGCTTCTCCTGGCGCCTCTTTTCGAGTTTCTGAGCCTCTTTTTCCTCTTTGCGGCGGCGTTCCTTGTCCTTTTCGCGCTCCTTTTCAGAATCGCGCTTGGACTGTCGTTCAGAGAAGCTGGGTTCGCGCTTGGCAGAGCGGTTGCTCTTGGTCTCAAAGATGCGGGTACCACGGGTGACGTATTCCTCGTCAAAGCGGCCAAACGTGTAGACCTTGGCGGCCGAGGGCGACGACTTGAAAGCGGGTGATCGCATGTCCGGGGTGCGAATCTCAAAATCGGAGTACTTTGCAGAGGGCTTGGGAGAGGAGATGTGTGCTTTTTCCTTCATCTGGCGGCGGAGGTCTTCGAGTCTAACCTTGTCGTCGTACTTTTGGCGTTCGGCGTCGTTGGTAAGGAGTTCGTAGGCCTGCTGGACACGTTGAAACTCATTTTGCTTTTCCTCCTTGAGCTGGGGATCTTGAACCTTGTCCGGATGGCACTTGAGGACGAGCTTTCGGTACGAGGAGCGAATCTCGGGAGTCTGCGCATCCTTGGGAACGCCGAGGATGTGGTAAGGGTCGGGCGGGAGGGGGGCCATGATGGCGGACTGTGGGGGTGAAGAAGGCAAGATTCTAAGCGAGGATCGAAGACGAGAGGTGCGAGATGTGTTGGGTGCGTGGCGAATATATAGGCTGGGAGCATCGAGGACCCAATGACCAAATCGGAAACCCGGACCAAGTGACGCAGGACGAAGTTTGCCCCGTGTAGGCCGTGCTCGTGCGTGCGTGGCAATGTAGGTGCGTGTGCGTGGTCGGGGTGCGTAGGCAGCAGGATGTTAAACAGAAACGAGGGAGGCACCAGCGTTGAGGTGTTGAGTGGCGATTGAGAGGCTGGGTTGATTGGCGAGATGCAAATGACCAGGACGGGAAGTGTGATGGAAGGCTAGGTAGTACAGCGAGCAAGAGGCGGGAGAAACAAGAGGCATAAAGAGGAAGTAATACAGGGCGGATCGAAGGGCAAGAAGCCAAATGCAGTCGAGATGTGAATGGAAGAATAGAAATAAAAACGAAGCCAGTGGCGAATCGGCGAACAGTCAAGTCCCCGGGGCTCTTTGGCTTCGATGTTGGTGACGTGGAATTGAGGAAGGGATTTGGATATGGAGTGATGCTCAAGCAAGGTGCCGAGCAAGCGGTGGTGGGCGAAGGAGGAAGAGGCGGGCGGTGCGGTGAAGATGTAGTCCTTTTGCTGGAGCGAGTGGCGGCGGAGGGTGTGGAGGGTACAAGGTGACTTGAAGAAAGCGGGCGCTGCACCAAGTACCTGCACCTGCACGGTGGGTGATGCAGTAACTAACGCAGTAACTCACTAATGGCCAGCGCCTTGATGATGAAGCAGGGACGAGAGCGGATGGGCGGGGGGGGGAGGAGGGACACAAGGTACTTGGAGGTACCTGGGAGCCGGGAATCTCGTCCAGGTGGCACTAGCGTGGGTTGCGTGGTTGATGGACGTCACGGGCGGCGGGAGGACTGATGCTGCGCGGGTTTTGCGGGCTGTGGTCTGATTGGCCAGGGTGGGTCGAGGTACCAGCGAAGTACTTTGCGTCCTTGCAGGCGCCAGGTGCGGTCCAGGTTGCACTTGGCTGTGGCCGGCGGGCAGGGGAGTGGGGGGATAGTCAAGTGGTGTCGAGGGGGTCGTCTCTCGTGTTCCCTCGCGGTATCCAGGTACCCAGGTACCTTGTGCTGTGCTGTGTAATGGACTTTGTTGGCCTGAGGCAGGAGACTGACTGACTGACCATTCCCGTAACTCCGTACTCCGTAACTAGAATGGCTGGGAATCCCGGCAAACAGTTTTTTAGTGCGTCACTGTGCGTGTCACCGTGCCTCTAAGACCGGCTACTGTGCGGTGATCCATCCACGCTGCCTTTTTAGCCTTTTTAGCGTCTGTGGCCGCACCACTCAGGCCCTACGCGTGGTTGACCATGGCTGGATGGACGGACGATGGACGCTGACGGAAAGAAAAAGAGGTACCTGACCAGTGACCAGGTGATGGACCGGGCCAAGAAAAGCCAGGCCGGAGCAGACCTAGGCACGTCCCCGAGGCCCTATCTTTTTCCCTGCCAAAGAATGAGCGAGGCTCTTCGGTACATTATTATCAAAGTCACTCTCTCCCCTCTCTCTCTTCATCAGGAGCAGCGTGCAGAATATTGTGGCTCCACGCCTCCACGAGCGAGCGCCAGCCACGCCACGCCACGGTACGGCTCGAAGAGGGCCGCTATTTTTACCAGGCAACCAGGGGAGCGCCGGTAGTGTAGTGGAGGGCAACTTGCAACTTGCCAAAGTACGCAACACCATTTGAGTAAAGAGGTAGGAAAATCAGTTCTTGTTCAGTCGTGACCAGCAGAAATCCCTTTACGAATTGCGGACGAACTTGCATGAGTCTCGACTTGGCCAACGTATCCAAGTGCCAGCCTCGTCGGACACATGTCAGCCGTGCGTGGCCCGGCCCGGCCGTGAATGATGCAATGTACCATTGGCTTCTAGAAGAATGAGCAAGACAATAAGCCTAGTATTAGTTAACGGGCGGAATGGATGACGCCCGGCGACGACGGGGAGAGCGACACCGGGAAGTTTGCTATTTGGCTCAGTCTCGTGTTATTAGGTAGTGGTGTGGTGTATCGCCGTGTCTCGCCATGGCCTGTTTTTTTCCCGCTGCACCCACCGAGAAAATCCGTCCTCGCAGAATATCGCGCGGCGTTTCATTCTCTAGTCGTCTCGATTCCAGGACTCATTGAAAAACTAGCAAGTAAAAACTAGACAAGTCTTCTTTTATTAGCGTCCGATGGTAAGCCAGTCAGATCCCTCGGAAACGCCTCTGGACTTGTCGTGCCAGGTCAAAAGCGGTACGCAAGAGGCGACAAAAGGAACCCACAGAAGGGCGGTGGGAAAAGCGGAGAGAGACGTACCTTCAAAGTACCGCTCTTTGTCACCGACTGCCTGTACCAAGTAGGTACTGTTAGTAAGCGTCTGGTCTCAGCCAAGCCAATTCCCCGGACTTTTGAGTTTGTCATTCAACAAAATCAAGATGTGCATCTGCGGTAATCCGAGTCCGTGTCGGCATGTATAATCATGAATAATGTTCCTCGTCTCTTGTCAAATCCGGTATTATGATAATCATGATGATGCAGAATCGTATACGAATAGCGGCAATAGTTATTTGCAGCTGTCCGTCTGCCAAGAGGGATTGACTCGTTGCGAGACGCTGATTGACCAGCTCCGCTTCCCAGAGGCACACTTCTGCATGGTCGACTCCAATAAGACACGGCACCGCAGCATCGCGCCATGCGACGATTCAAGAGGCCACCCAGTGTCCAGTTCTAGTGATGGCATAGGTACCCAGCTGAGGCATGTGTGTGGCACCAAGTTCCCCAGTGACCTCGTCCACCACTCAGCGCCCGCGTGGTTGCTGCTTTGTGTGGTGCCAGGTGCCTGTAGCGATCATTGATGCGGCTGTCACGCGTACCGACTTGCAAGTTTTGGTGGTGTGTCGGTTTGATTAGCAGTCCGGCTGCTATTACTCGACAGGATAGAAGCCAAAAATCACCCAAAATAACACCAAGTCGACTTCATCACTTGATTTGTTTGTATTGACTATCACCTCGACCGCTCAATCCCCCCTGCCATCTCCCCGACGACCATCTCCATTGCCCTCATCGGCATCCATCTGCCTGCATATTCGCGAGCGGGGGAGGGGACTTGAGACGGGACAAGAGACAAGCGGTGAAGCTATGGTCTGCTTTTTGGAGACGCCGTAATAGGTTTTACCTTGTCCATCGGTATCCCGTACTATTCAACGGTTCTTATTCCTTGTCATAGCATGTCGCATAGGAAATACAAAAAGGCAGGGCGGTGCTGTCTCGTTGTTCCTTGGCTGACAAGACTGGCCGCAGCGGCTGACGACGAAACCGAGGCCGAGCCCGGGGTTACTGCAGCAATGTTGCCACCGGCTTTGGTTTTACTTGCTTTATTAGTCAACGGTAGTCAACGGCCTCCAACAGGGAGACTGACTACATTCATCATGACGACTACCCGGGTAGTTTATCCATGACGACTCATTGCGAATCAATGCGAAACCCTATGACAGTGGCACGCAAGCTGTCTGGTTTGGGAACTAAATCCAGCTGCGCCTCCGCCGCCAACCGCTCCAGCTGCTCCGGCGCCCCAGAAGCCAAAAGCTTAGAAGCTTGCGCCAAACGCCCTGTAGAGCTGGGCCAGACACCGCTATATTTGGCCACTAATAGCAGCAGGTACTACTAGTAAGGGCACTACTAGTAAGGGCACCAGCAGCTACCTCCTACTCGAACCAGCAAAATCTACCAGCAAAAGCAAACGACAGCCAGCCACCAACCCGCCCGCAGCCCAAAACCTCATCGCCCACTCATCGCGTCCCTCGTTTCTCGTTTGCATTTCCTCCCCAACACTTGACCTGCTTGCCTGCACACCAGACTCAACTCCAAGACTTGCTCTCCATAATCCCGCCACACATCCGCTCCGCACCTTCGCTTCCATTTACCCCTCTCCATTGGCCTCGGGTATCCTGTCATTTATTATCAATCGCTTTCGGGTCTAGCCTCCTTGTCTCCTCGTCGTCCGCCCAGCTCGCACTTCTCAGACACGACCCCCTGTCTGCCTGTCTGGTTCCCCGCAGCCTGTTGAGACATGGACGGGACGATGGACGATGGACGATTCAACTCTCTCGCTCGCTCTCTTTACTTCGTACGGATACGGACAAGGTCAATAATTCATCAACTATGTTTGCCTCTTTGATCGGCTCCACGGTCTGCCTTGGTTGCTCGGCCAGACCAGGCCGCCTTGGATCCAACGAATTCATGCCTCTTTAGCCACCATCGCCTTGTTGCAGTCTAGACGGGATCCGGCCCGCCGGCATCTATAGTAACGACCAAAAGCGTCGCAGCGCAACACGGCAACACGAACTTGCTAGCCGTTGTTGTTCCTACCGATGCTCACGCCAGCAACCCATCTACCATGGCCATGTTGTTGGGCCGTTGCTGCCAGGTTGTCAACTTGCCAGCCTAGATGCACAGCTGACACCAAGGCAAGCGGCAAGCCCACGTTGCGGCCGCTCCCGTCACATCATGCCCCGCCTCGGTTTCGACAAGTACGCAAAATAACTAATAAGGAACAAGTTACTGCAAGTCTGCAGCCAGCCTGCAGTTGGCCCTAGCATCGGCCCGGCGTACCGTTGCGACCAGTGTACCAATCGTATCTTTTCAATCAGACTCTTGGGTCGCCTGCCACCCAATTCCCCCCTCTCTCGAGGGCTCACTGTGGGGAGGCCCCGTCTCTATCTCTGGTCAATATTGTGCCAGCATGACGAGAGCCACCCAGAGAGCCACGCGAGCCACCCAATGAGCCACTTCGGTCGACTTATTGCTGCAACCTGTAGTACCCGTATCACCTCGCATCGCGCACTCGTCCACCGGTGCCTTGACCATGGGCCGTCCTTGTACCCGTTCCCCGAGGTGGTGTGGATGAGGCCCTCACCAGCATGGCAACATCAGCCCGGAACTGTGCGACCAGCCAAGCAGCCTAGCAGGCATCCTTGGACAAGCAGACAGGACTCTGTACTCCGTACTACGCAGCCAAACAGCATGCACCGTTCCTGACAGAGTGGTATCGAACGCCTCCATGCATGCCCTAGTCTCCAATACAGCCCATGCTCCGGTGATGTGATGGGCCGTGGTTGCGCAGTTGCCAGTTGGGCATCTCCAGCCTCCAGTCCATGAATGGGACAGACTATCCACCACACCACGACTTCTGCCGTGGGCGTCTTTTGGGCTTTGTCGTCGCCTCACCATCAGGGCGGCGCGTCGCGGCCAAACACGGTTGGGGTTCTCGGCCTTGGACCACCCTCATCCCGTGCAGATGCGTTCGTAACTGACGCAGCTGCGGGACTCCCGCGATACCACTAACTACCTACCTAGCTAACACGCCCAAACTTCCATGTACAGCGCTTTATCTCATTGGCAAGTCTGCACACTCTGCCAGTACGCCCGCGACCCCGAAATGCCCAACCTTGGTTAATTGTACGGTGCTACTCATTTTGGCTTGATGCCTGGCAACAATGAGGAAGGCGCATATATGTACGTGCTTATTAGTCGATGAGAGCCTCAGGATGCCGGGATGCCCATTCCCCACGATAGCACCATGCACTACTAAGCGCCAGGCTCAAGCCACCAACCCAAGTCCCCCGTTGCACTGGCATGCGACTGGTCGGCGGCCCAGTAGAGCTGTCTCGTCCAGGGCTCCCAAGGCACATTGGAGGCTCATCACCCCTTCGTTGTTGCCTTTCTGGCTCTAGTTATTCATGCCATCCTTGGTCGATCTTCCGCCGCAAGTGCCGATGCGAAGACTGACACGTCGGAGGCACGTTTATCAGTAGCCTAGACTGTGTGTACAGCGCATTCGCACCACCACTACGAATTACGCATTGCCCGTCTGTCAGATCACGACAGCCTACCCAGGCGATGAATCGCCAGAGCTGTATGCGTGCTGCCTGAATACTCGCGGCGTACCTCCCCCTTTTCAACAAGTGTGCGAGAATGCTCAGCGTCGTACAGCAAAAAGACGCCACACTTGTATGAGTGCGTACCGAGTGTACGGATTGGGTTGGCCAGCCTGCATAAGTCAAGAGCCCTGTAAGCAGATGACAGCTGTGCACGTTGGCCCACGCCACCACTCTGTTCGCCACGTTTTGCGAGGCACAAGTTTGGGGGGGAATTATGCATCCAGGCAGCACAAGCAGCACAAGCAGGCAGCACAAGTAGCACAAACAGGCAGCACAAGCAGCACAAGCAGCACAAGAAGCACAAGCAGCACAAGACGAACAATTGCCCGATCAGGGGCTCAAACAAGACTGCTCACATGTCCTTTGCATTTGTCCGTCTGGGCGCAGGAAAAAGCGTCGCCAAAAGGGAAGAAGAAAAGCCGTCATGTGCTACCGGGTAAGTAAAGTGAGCTGTCGCTTGCCACTCGGCTACCGAAGGGCAGGATAGTTGGGCTGCTCCAGAAGTTTCCTGAGCAGAAGAATCCCGGGTAGCCCAAGGGGAGGTTTCAGGAAAAATCTGGAAGCAGGAAGATGGCAAAGCACTCAAGAAATGTCTGAAGCCCAAGCCACACCGAGATGACGACGGCTGGTTACGAACTATGCAGTGCTTGCCGACGGGATTCGATATTCGATGATGTCGGGCCAAACTCAAACTCCGTTAGCTGGGATCAGGTACCACCAGGTACATACGACACGAGGACAAGCCGTCGGAGCTCATGATGGTAGTGCAACTTTAGGACGATGGAAATCCGCTAGCTCGTGATTTCCGATGCCTAACTTATAAGAGTCATGGGAAGAACCAAGAAAAAAAAGAGTAGGATGCTTGGCTACGGGGCTGTCTTGTGGTGTCGATTCATGAGCATATCGCCTGAGGAAGTTAATAGTGGCGATATAATACGGAATACCATGGACCATGGTCGCGCTGACCGCCGAGAACCGGTGCTCGCAACACAGCATGCTTGCTGCCCATTTGCACAGCGAGATGATGTATTTCCTCAATGCGCCGTACTAGAATAGTATGGAATACCATCGTGATGTGATTTCCATCACTTGCATGAACTAATAATTCGACATTATCTCGCAGCGCGCTCATGTAATGCCCCGCAGCCGAAGCCGGGGCGCTTTCGTCACGGACTTGTCCTTGCTTTTGCGAGAGGATGCATGATGTGATGCTGTCGACCGCTCATCGGAGCTTGCTAAAATAGAGACGAAAAGGCGGCTGCATCACGATGGTTGACCTGGGGTTGTCCATCGCTATAGATGGGATCTCGCATGGCAAGAGTCTGACCAGGGAACAACTCATGTTGTCATCAGGCAGAGTTCTACATTGATCAAGTTTTAGAGATGCATTGATAGTAGATGGCCACATTGAATGCAAAAGCTGGCAAGTGAGAAAGGAACGTGACACAAAATGGGATGCTGTTGTCTCGCGTCGTCGTCGGCCTGGTGCAACTTGGCCACGACAATGTCCCAACACAGGCTGCGAAACTATGCACAAGTGCGCTGCCCATGAAACATAAAAAAAAAAAAAGGTAAAAGAATACAGACTTATTCACTGCGGTACTTGGCACTGGCAAACTCGGGGGGTTGGACAAGCCGGGGCCGATGCGTCCAACGTCGCGCAAAAAAAACGTCGCACAAGCTCCTCGAAGCAAAGCTGTTGTGTGTTGCTGCAGAAACAAGTCACCAGACCGCAAAAGAAAACCTCTTTCCAGAAATTAGGGGAACAAATAAATAAATGTCCACGGAGCATGATGCGTAACCTGATCTGCGCTTTCTGGAAAAAGCCGTTATTCTGCGCCCGTGTAACTTGAAAGGGCTCGCACGTTTTGTCTTGCTGGCAACGGCGGGGGGGGGCGGTCAACACTGGGACGGACAGGAGCTCAGGCAGAATCCGGGCTAAATACATTGGAAAAATAAACAAAAAGACTCTGAAGATGGATGATGATCAGCGTGTCTGTCCTTTCTCATTGTTTTCGATTGAACTTGTCGTTTCGGATGGTGTGGAGGGCATCGCCGTCGTATATAACTCGACGATGGTTTTCGCGCACTGGGCTGGGGTGCATGGCAAACAACACAACACAACCATGGAAAAGCAGAGGTAGGGAATTACTACAGCGCCATTCAAGTACAGAAAGACCATCTCCCAGTGACAGGGTCGGACAGCCAGGACCGTGATACGGAGCCACGGCCTCATCGACCTCTTAACACAGCTACGTATCCCCAACCATGATGGGCCTTCCCCGACTCTTCCCCTTATATCTGCCGCAGAGTGCCAATAAGTGTGTCATGCTCGACCGTTGCGTCAGACCGGCGTACGCTCTCCGAGTTGGCACTTCCCAGCAAAACGCGCAACGACGGTCGGCGAGCCGCCCTGGGCTTAGCGCAGCGAGCAACCACCGTCAAGATGTATATATATCAAGCCACGCCCGCGTCGCGGTGAACCTGTACATCCCGTCTCGCAAATAGTTATACCAAATACTAGAGTATCGATAAGCAAAACGGCATCAAACATGGAAAGCGTAGACTGGGAAAGCCTCAACAGAAGAGCCTGGGACGAGCGTGCTCCTCTTGTACGTTCCCCCTCAGCAGAAACCTGCCTCTCACTCACACACACCAGCACGCGGCCTCCCCCGACTACCACGTGGCCAAGTTTCTCGCCGACGCGACCTACATCTCCCCCGTCGTCGCCTTTGACGCGCCTCTCCTCGGGCCGCTCACCAACCTGCGCTGCGCCCACCTACAGTGCCACATTGGCACCGACACGCTGAGCCTCGCGCGGCGCGGCGCGGCCTCGGTCACCGGTCTCGACTTCTCAGGCGCCTCGCTCGCCGAGGCAAACAAGCTCGCCGCGGCGACCGCGTCCTCGGGCGGCGCGCGGCTGCGCTTCGTCCACGCGTCCGTGTACGACGCGCTCGACGTGCTTGGCGGCAGCGGCGGGTTCGACCTCGTCTTCACCGGCATCGGCGCGCTCTGCTGGATCCCGGACTGCCGGCGGTGGGCGGCCGTCGTGGCCGGGCTGCTGCGGCCGGGAGGCGGCCGGCTGTTTATGCGCGAGGGCCATCCGAGCCTGTGGGCGCTCGACGACGCCGAGCGGGAGCGGCTGGTGGTGCGGTACCCGTATTTTGAGCGCGGCGCGGACCGCCCGCTGCTGTGGGACGACGGCGGCGCGACGTATGTGCGGCACGAGCCGCACCAGTTTGAGAATACCACGACGGCCGAGTTCAACCACGGCCTGGGCGAGATTGTCCAGGCCCTCTTGGACGAGGGCGGGCTTGCGGGTGACGGGGCTGACGGAGCACCAGAGCGTGCCGTGGGATGCGCTCCCGGGACAGATGGAGGAGATTGGAGGAGGTGAGTGTGATTATCCCCGGCGATAGAAAATGGTGTCTTGTCAAACTGAGTTTGCTAACATGGATAGGCGAGTACGCACTCAAGAGTGAGCGTTGGCGGTTACCGCTGACCTATACCCTTCAAGCTGTCAAGGAATGACTCTCCAAACATCACTAGAGAAGAATATACAAATTGTTAATCTCAGGTTTATTTCCAACAGCTCCATTTAGCAACACTGATTTGTTGAGGCCTGCATCTTGTTTCGTCCATTACTGTCAAGCGAACGAACTTGACAAGTATCCATGTTTCATGCCTAACAAAGGGGACACCAACAAAACGGTACAAAAAGATACATGGGCAAGCCAAGAAACCAAGAACAGCTCAATGACGTTGCTATCAACTGGGTATCGGGCGATTCTCTTCTGCTTGAATAGCTAGACATGGAACCCCAGATCGATGACATCCTGCATCCCCGCAATCCACACTTGGCCCGGCCCAACGACACTACGTCATACGTGGATAATGCCAACGTTGCAGAACGTCGTGGAACCACAACGTGATGATCAAGGAAATGAAAGAAAAAGGTGCCGGGAAGGCGGGAGGAAGCGTGCAGTATAGATTGTGTGGCGGTGATGCGAATCGGGGCGTGCCAAGAAAGGCTGAGACAATGCCGATGAAGAATGGGCATCTGACGGCGGCCACTTGTCCGGGGTTGCAGTTGCAAGATGTGCGCTGTCGCAGTGTATGTGGTTTTGCTCGCGGTGCTCGTATTAGCCTTGTCAATGCGGTCTCGGTCAGCAGAGGAGCGAAAACAAGAAGACTCCAAGTTTGGAGAACATCATTGACGTTGGCTGCGTGGTCTCTCGTGCCATCTCCCCGGCGTGTTTACAGCCCGTCAGCCCCCGTCAACGACAGGAAGATCAAGATCTACCACAATGGGCTTGTAAAACTGCTTCCCACCTGTATGTGGAAACTTGCTCTTCAATAATGCCGCATTAACAACGCACGTCTCCCTCCGCCCATACCAGCCCGGCGCAAATCCGCCTGACGGAGAACCCTCACCACGATTCTCGTTAGCCAAGGTTGCGCGGCCGCCATCTTCCTGCCATAAGCCATCATTATCCAGCGGCCAACTTGCCTTTTTGACCGTTAGATCAACGAGACTAATTTTGTTGCCGCTACCCGCGCCCGTGTCCTGCCACGCCGCCGCGACGCTTTCCAGCTCCCCATAAGCGCGGTGCAGATCCCACCGTACGCGCGACACGCCTCGACCCTCGTGCAAGTGGCCGCAGATGGCCAGCCTCGGGCGCACACGCCAGAGCGCACGACGAAGGGCCTCACAGCCTGCGGGACGGTCGACGCCGCCACGCTCGTCACAGTGGCCGCGCGGCGGTGTGTGAGTCACCACAAGGTCGGCGGACGCTGGGATGTCATCCCACGGTGAGGCACGATACCCGTCGTCTGTGTCTGCGGCCCGGCTAGAATAGTCTTCATGCGAGGACGAGACCTCGTGATACGGTGGGTAGTAAAATGCCCAGTTACGAAAGGCTGGTGCAAGGGGCGACCCGAAGACGGTAAACTCGGTGCGCGGCCCAGTCGGCGAGGACAGCCGGACGGTTGCCATTTCGTGGTGCAAGTAGGTCAGTGACGGCGAGTTCTTGAACAAGGATAAACACTCCTCATGGGACTCAATCTTGTTATTATGAAACTCATGACAGTGCCTCGCGTAAAAGTCGGCATCGAGAGTAATGTCGTGGTTGCCTGTATCCGCGTCAGTACCTTGCCGCATCCATTGACATGTGTGGTCATACCGGCAATAATAATTTTGGCCTCGTATGGCAGCTCTTCTAACCATTTGACAGCTTTGGAGAGCTACATACATATCTTGTAAGCATGCTTCGCTGCGGTCGGCGAAGGGCTGAGTCAGTACCTCTGAATAGCTACCCTGGTTGGTGATATCGCCCGCATGAATAAGAACATCACCCGGGGGGAGCTTGACGGTGCAGTTGTGCGTATCTGATATGCAAACTATGCGGGTGCGACGAGTCAGTCGAATTTTCATCCCATCTTCTGTCACCATGGTGTAGGAATGAAGTTGACACGCGATGGTGAGGGGAAACCACCCCACCATCTACTATTTAGTACACTGTTGAGAACTATTTCAACAATGCGCACCGGAGAAATCAATCATGTTTCGATGAATGTAGTCATGCGCAAAGGCAAGGCTATCCGAATTCTGCATTGATCCTGTTAGGCTGTCCCTGTTTAACCTCGCCAAGGGCCCCTGCCAGCAGCGATGCCAACAGAGCGATTCCTCACTCCCACACACGGACCTTCTAACTAATAGAAGCATATATTGTCAGAAATCGAAATTGACGCGGGAGGGCGTATGTCGGATAAGTTGATCTGGCAGAATCTGAACCTCGACTCAGTGTAGCAAGTGGCTAACGCAAAGGATCCCAAAGTACGGAGTAACTACTGCTGCGCAGTTCGGCTCTGGCTGTCGACGAAGGCGGAGAGAGGGTTGCTTGCTCAAATCAGAGTTGCGGTTCTTGCAGAGATCAAGTGAACCGTGGGATTCCCTGATATTAGTGGTGTCACTGGGTCAAGCGTGCAGGTGATGATTTCGCTGGTAGGATATAGCACTGTGCGTGATATTGATGGGGTCTCGATCAAGTGCTGATCTGGCCGTCGTCATTGGTGCAATCCGGCTGGCCAGACTGCAAGCCACAGCGACGATGCATCGAATCAGAGCCTATTTTTGGCTGGCCAGAAGCAGGTGCGCAGAAGCAGGAGCCAGCTCCGAGATATTGATCAAATTGTGCCATTATTTTCTGAGCGAACTAGACGTGTTCGGGAGGTTCCGCCGGCGGCCAAGCTATTGAGTAATGTGATGGTCCGCGGGACCAGGGCAAGTAGCAATCTCGGCGGCCCCAGCAATTAGCCACACCTGCACGAGCCAGGCGAATCAGCCGTGCGGCCAAGATCGTCCTCGATTATGCGCCTGAGCGTGGAGAGGTTATGGGACGAGAGTGTGAGCCGGAGAAGATGTTGGATGTTGAGGTTGATCGCGGGACGACTCAAGGAGAAGGCGAGGTGAACACAGCCGGCAACACAAAGGGGTCTACATGATGCTATTAGCAAGTCAAAGTTAGTAAATGTCTTCTTTTCGAGCCGTCCTGGAGTTAAAAGGGTACCTGAGTACCAGGTCCTGGTAGAAGATGACATTGGCAATCCTGGCTGCGGAGAACGCTATGGACAGTAGCGCAGAGACCATTGATGATTGGGTTGGGTGCTAAAGAATTGTCGGCGAGGGATGTGAGTTGCACTACTTCGTACTTTCTGCGAAGAAATGATTGATGCACGGAGAAATGGGCGAGGTAATTCGGAAATCCGACATTTGGGTTTGTGGTGTTGAAGCAAGGAGGGCAACAAACGGGCGGCAGGCGACGGCGAAGCAGGTACCAGGTACCTCAGATTACATGCATGCGGTGCTCAATTGAGGACGGTACAGATACAAGTCCAAAATAGAAGCCAAGACAGACTCTCCAGACTCCGTCATGAGTACAAATTACCAGGATTGATTTATCTTGTAAAATTATCCGTACCTGTACTCGATGTCATGGCTTTTCAAGTTCCAGCTCGTCCAATGCCCTAGCTGCCGGGCGCCGCGCACGGCCAGGAACCCCTAGGAACCCCATGTCTGCCAATCAATCTGTAGCTGTACATGCACCAGCCGGGTGGGTTCCTGCGTGTTAGGCGCATGGCAAATTAGACCCAGACGTTTTGGGCCAACTGGAATGAAAAGCGATGGGGAAGAAAGAGCAAAAACAAGAGTAACTAAAGATCATCCGTAGCGACAGAATGAACTAGAGACAGCGTCGAAGCTCGAGTCAGTTCTTCTTTTGTCCTATCCTCTTTTTTTTTTCTTTTTCGTGTTTCATTTGTTGGACACAGGGTGAAAGCTCGAGGACCCTGGGAAACTGGGAGGCGGCAAGAAAAAGAAAATACAGCGCCGTTTAGCGGGCGTCGAGTCTACAGCGGGGCACGTAGTACGGCACCGGCCGCTGTATTTTGGGCCCTGATGTGCTGTGACGTGCGGCGATGGGTCCTGTAATGCGCTGTTCTAGGTAGCTTGGGCAGCCACCAACAGCTTCCCAAGGTACTTGGACAAAGGACCTAAATTGCGAGCGCAGGCAAGTACCTTCTCAAGCCCACCACAGCCGTTTGTCGCACCCGTGGGCCGTGATGTCTCCCTTTTCCTCCATGCCGCAGCCACCCATGTCCGCCTTGTCCGCCTCCCCCCCGTACACTCCCGTCCGTCCTCGTCCACCACCATTCCCAATCTGCATCGTTGTGAATGCATGGATGGCCCTGCTCCGCTTTGTCTATCCTTGGTCTGCCACTTTCTCTTTTTCTCTCATCTTTTCTTCTTCTGGCCTCGTTAATCCCGTCCAGCATTCTTTTCCATTGCGCTCTCGTCATCTAACTAGGTAGCCTGCGGCGTTGTCCACTGCATGCTGCCTCCGCGACCTTTTTTATGAGCCTCCTCTGATCGGCTCTCCGGCCATCATCCATCCGTTCCTCTCGCCCACAGTCTCTCGCCTTGCCACACCACGACCGAAGCTTCTGGCCTATTGGCCCGTTGGCAATTTCTGTCATACATCGCCATTCGCCTACTAGGGCCGCTCGATTGTGTCCGTGCTTTCCTCCTCAGCGCGGATTTTGGTTCTCCTTCTTTGTCTTGAGCCTGTGCAGCTCTCCAACTCCAGGGCGCCACCATTGCCCGTCGCCTCCCCGTCCTGTCACACTCAACTTCAGCCACCGTCGTCCCGGCGCTGTATTCGCAGTCTTCAACAATGGCTGCCGTGGCCTCTGTGCCGGGCCCGGCGTCGGCCTTGACTCCTCCCAGCAGCAGCCACGGCGATGAAAACGGCTGGGACTATTCTACCGTTGATCCAGACGTACGTTGCCTCAGATGAGCCTCCCGAGGCCGTCAACCGCCGCCAACCACCTTAAAGCTAATTGCCTCCCGTGACCAGAGTCAACTCCGTCATCATCCCACAACGTCCCACGAGCCGTCCCAACAAGCTTCTGCTTTTCCCGCACACGATGCCCGTACCGCACCCAGAACATACTCCCAAGACATAACGGCACGCAAAATGAGGTCCGCCGATAACCTGCACAGCTCCAAGTGGCCCAAATCCTCTGACTACCGGGGAGACCAGCTCCCCGGCCTTTCAGAGGAGGAAAAGGCTAAGAGCGACCAATTCGTATACAGCCAGGACCACTCCAAATGGATCCACAGAGACAAGCTGGCCAGAATAGAGACGGAAGAGCTCCAGGCTGCCGGCTTCTTTATACCGAAGGGAAGATCTTCAAGCCGCACCGCACGCAGAACCGAAAGCCGCCTCAGCCAAAACGCCACCACCGAGCCCGAACCGATTTTGAACCGTGCTAGAAAGGATTCTGCTTCTCTTGAGCCGCCCTCGTCGCCGCCGAGCTGGGATCTGCGAACCCCTCAGGAAATCGCCGAAGCACAAACCACTTCGTACTTTACGAACAACGCTCTCACCGGGAGCACGCGTATTCCTGTCGCCAAAATCAGCCCAGCCCCAATCCCCATCGAGTTCCTCGAACATGGCTCTCTTGCCGCCCGTCAAAACTCCGACGAGGACGACGACAGCCTCACATACAATAAGACGCGTTCGCGCAGCGCTAGTGCCGCAATTAGAGATTCCGGCAACGGTGTGCCAAACGGTCAACGCTCCACGACTGATTCTTCACCAAAGAAGCACGCGCGCAAGAATAGCAGCACCACGCCCACCAGACCTGGCACAAGAGGTAAGGATTCTCCGAGCAGTGCTGGATCCCGCCCGCCCACGCGAAATGGACGAACTACATCTCGAGCGAAGCACCCCGAGGGCGAGCCGCCATGGATGGCCAACACGTTTAAGCCCGATCCTCGACTGCCGCCCGATCAGCAGATTCCTCCCTTTGTTGCCAAAAAAATGGCTCAAGAGCAGATGGAGAAGGATGGCACATTTGGTGACGCCTACGACAAGGATTTCCGCCCTCTCAACACAAATCCTCTGGGTCTGCCCAAGCCCAACGCTGAGCCCGAACAGGAAGGCGAGCCGGCAGAGGACGAGTGGCCGCTCAAGCCGGCTACGACGAACCGACCGCTCATGCGGACTTGCTCCATGTACTCGACCATGCCCAAGATAATCGACAAGCCGCCAGGCACACCCGTACCTAGCCCACGCCCGGCCAATACGGCCATGATGGGCCCGCCGCAAACTGCGCCGCCAATAAAGCAAATGCCGCTGGTTGAGCCCGAGGATACTAAGAAAGGCGGCTGCGGCTGCTGTGTGGTCATGTAACGGCGGTGCTCTTGAGCCCATTTTACGACTTATGAATCTTTTCTTTATTGTACTTGCCCTCGGAGCCGTTTTTTTCGTTCTCCTTCATCTCTCATCCACACTTTTTTTTTAGCCACGGACCCTGTCGGTAGCTCTCGTGGCCGATTAAGCGACGTTTTATTTTTCTACATTTTCATTTGTTGAACCTTGATGTTCATTCAAAAGAACAAGTCGGCAGGACGACTTTTGGTAGTGCGCGAGTGTGTGTGCCTTTATTCTACTACATTGATTTACTTTAATCATTGGCACAAGACGTTTGATACCTTTTGTTTTTTTCTTGTTTGTTTTCGTTTTTTCTTTGTTCATTTTTGACCTGCCGGATGAGCAGAACAAAAGCCAATCACTTGCGTTACCTGGACGGCGTTTTTTTTTTGTGTGTGTTCTCTTTTTTTCTTCGCGCAGTCTTGTCTGCATTTTCCTGTGTTGCGTACTTTTTGTGTTACCCCCTTCTCTTGTTTCCCTCTTCTTCCCTACTTCTTTGATTGGTTACCACTTGCTGTTGCTCGTGATTTATGCTCGAGTTTCTTGTTTGAATTGGCGGGGGGCTTGGTTGAATGAGAATGATTGCTACGCATTCTTTCCCCGACGATTTTGAGGTGGCAATGGGAAGCCATGGTGAGGCGACTTTTGCCTTCCTTTTTTTTTGTTATTCATACGTATAGGGGAGTGATTGGGTGGGTGGTGAAGTACAGTGAGTGGTAGATAAATTAAATAAACATTTTATCAACACATTCTTCATTATTACCTGTGCCACCAACACAACAGCAATATTTCGATTCGTATTCGTGATCTTATGATTGCGTAAGCCAACGTCGTGTACACATTATTTGCCATGCCGTGCCACCTTCTTTTCCAAGCTTAAGTTGCTCGCAGAATACATCGCTGCCACAACCGGCCCCATCAGCAACATTGTCGAGTTACCTAACTGCCTGAATATGCCCCCCTCTTCCTGCCGCGCCGCGTTGAAAACCCGGACGGCTGCTCGGACGCGTACAAGCTGTCCAGGCGGCCCGACCCGGCTTGGGGAGGCGCTGTCAATGAACCATTTCTTGATATTACTGTATTCATTTCCGGACACCCTAGACATACATCACGTAGTACCAAAAAACAGTCCCCTGTCAATGCGTTCATTCTGGCTGTCTAGACTATACACACCCCCATAGCATCTCTCGTGCCAAACAGCCATCATGCCCCTATACGTATGACCAATCTTTCCTTTGCCGTTGCTAATTCGTCTCCCTTTCCGTTCCCATAAACAAGGACATTTTTATTCTCCCCTTTCTTTCGTATTGCGATCGCGGTACAAGTAAAAACGAAAATACCGACCGCGCCACCTCCTAGAAGCAAACAGCCGAGGCCGTCCACGGCAAGCCCAAGCAAGCCTGGTCGATTGATCCCAACTTTTTGTCAGGCACACGTCGCCAGTGCTCGTCGTTGGTTTGCCTCGTGTCCTCCGTCGGTGGCTTTGGGAATAAGAAAACGAGCAAAATCAAAAAAGATAGAAAAAACTAGTCCATAGAAACAATCGTACACGTTATGCATAGTTGAACAGTCGAGACAATCCATCCGTCTCGCATTTCCGTCCCAATCCCCCCCGGTCACCATGGTTCCCGGTGACAAACAAAATACATTTCGCTGCCAGTCAAATCGTCTGGCAGACTTCATCGCATTGAATACATTCAGCAGCGCCGTGGCGAGCCTAGCGTAAGCGCTCGCATTCTTCGCTCCTCTCGGTTCTCAGTGTCGCGGAAACTCGGACCTCCTCGACGCTGGCGGGTGCGCCGTTTCTCATCACGGTTCCTACCCCACTAATGGTAGTTGCCACCCCAGCCGCGCTGCTGCTGGCCGGCACCATAGTAGCCACCGGTACCGAAGCTTTGATTGTTGTTGTAGGAGCCATAAGGGCTGTTGCCGTGCTGGTTAGCGCCGGCTCCGGAAGCGCCCATTCCGTAGGCACCGCTACCATGAGCAGCGTGACCCTGCAAGTGGTTGGGGTAGCCGCCGTAGGCACCGCTCATCTGGGAGTTCTGGGGAGGCAGGCCGCTAGCCTGACCAGGGCCAGTATTGGTGGCCGATCCAGGGCGAGCGCCGCCGAGGGAAGGGGAGGGCCCAGAGCCACCCTTGCCATCACCAAAGGGCTTCAGGTCATCACCGGCTGAGGCACCGGCGCCAGGCTGGTTCTGGCTGTTGAAACCCTGAGCCTGCGCCTGGAATGCGGAACCGCCGCGCGCAAAGCTTTCGTGGGAGCCACCGTAGCCAGTTGCAGCGAGCCCGGGCTGGGAGCCAGCCTGGCCAGTAACTCCGCGGCCATAGTCACCCGGGCCAGAGCTAGTGTTGTTTTCGCGGTGAGTGTTGGCAGGCGCAAAGTTACCAGGCGAGCTGGCGTGGTCATAGGGCGCATTGGGAGACACGCCATAGGGTTGGCCATACATGCCAGCCTTTCCACCATAGGGACCGAAGTTGCCCTGACCGTATCCAGAGTAGTATTGCTGGTAGTAAGGGTAGTAGGGGTGGTTGTAGCCGGGGTACTGTTGTCCGTGACCCTGAGGTTGAGAGCCAGGAGCTCCAGCCTGCGCCTGTTGGCCGGGCTGAACCTGCTGCCCCTGAGGGATCTGCTGCTGAGCCTGCGCAGCAGGGTTGGGGGTAGAGTGGCCACTGTTCTGGCTGTCAGCGGCGACGCCAAACCGAGGTTGCCCGTGTGAGACTCCGCTCTGAGGATATTGGCTCAAGCTATCGGTCTGAGCAGCGTTGTAGCCGCCCAGAGGTCGCTGCTGCGTATCGTGCTGGCCATGAGGAACCTGTTGCTGGCCGTAGTGTTGGGCATAGTAGTTATTATAGGCGTTTCGATCCTGCTGATTGGCGGTGTAGTAGTTGGAGTAATCGGAGGGGGCGGAGCTGAACGCCGCCTGGGAGGGAGCTTGCGTGGTGGCAGTAGAGAAGCTGTCAAAGGGCGGTTGAGTAACGGGCGTAGCCTGCTGGCCAAAGGGATCGATGGACTTCTGCGCGGTGGGGTCCTGACCATAACGGCCATACTGCTGGCCGGGGATGGCAGGTTGGGCGGCTGCGCATATAATTAGTTCCAGATTCTGCCCAGGGTCGATTGGAAGTCAACTTACGCTGCGTAGGGATTTGGCCGTTCGGTGCTACACCTATTCGAGCGTTAGTTCTTGTCTCAAGTGCCTTGTGTGAGGTGGACTGTCTTGAAGTGACAACATACCAGGAGGCGCAGCTTTAGGGAAGGATTCCGGTACAGCAGAGGGTTGAGCAAGAGCAGGGGGGAGTGAGGTACGGGGTTGGGCAACAGGAGAGTCGGCAGGAGGTTGGGCGCGAGTCTCGGCGTCCTCGCGTTCACCGTCAACATCTTCCTCGGCACCACCGAGGTTGAAAGCGCCAAACTGGACAGCAGCGCGATCAAGCTCACGGTTGCCAGGCATGCGGACAGACTCTTCCTGGTCCAGAACACGACGCTGGAGGCCTGTAGGGCGGGCAGTCCTGTCAGTGGTGGCCTTGAGAGCAGAGGCGGCGTAGCCACTGATGGGCACTCGCTGGTGCTGCTGGTGGGCGGCGGAGAGAGGGGTGGCGGAGGAACTAAGAGGGCTCTGTCGTGGATCCCAAGAGTCAGCAGCAGTGCTTGCGGCGGTGCCAGTCGCGGCTGGCTGGGAGTCGTCAATAACCTGTTCAAGATTTGTCTCTGTGAGATCGTCCTTGGGTGGAGGCAGCGCGGGTTCTTCAATAATCAGGTCGGCATGGGCGGCAACGGGAGTCGTCTCCTCGTCGGCCTTAACCTTTTCCTCGGCGGCAGGAACGGGGGCGGGAACGGGTTCAGGAGCTTCGGCAAGTTCAGCAGAATCGGCAGGCTTGCCCTTGGCATAACCGGGAATAGGAGCGGGCTTATCAACAGTGGTAGACTGGCGAAGCATGCTAGCCCACGTCTTGGCGGCAGAGGCGGCCGAGGCGGACTTGCTGGCGGCCTGTTCAGTGGAAGGCTTCATGTCAACGGAATCGGCCGGGCTCTTGGTCTCGCCCCAAGCAGAAGACTCCCCAGTAGGGACGGACAACTGTTGGTTCTCCTTGTGGCGCGGGCCACCGTTGGTCGAGGGTTGGGCGGTGCGGCCACGAGGAGCACCACCGCGAGCGCCTCTCTCTGTAGCTCGGCCTCGTCCTCGGCCGCCTTCGGACACGGTGCGACCCCCACGAGCAGCACGGAGAGGGGCAGTCGTCTGTTCGGTCGTAGCAGCGGCGGCGGCGGGAGCAGCGTCCTTGGCCTTTGTGCGAGCGGGCTTCTTGGCCTTGGAGACCTCGCCCCATTGAGAAATGGTACCTAAAAAGAAAAGAGAAAAGAGTCAGCGGTGGATCAGGGGGGGATTGAGAGGATGTAGGCCCAAGGCATAGGCTGTCGAGGAATTGGCGTTGGGGTATGAATGTTGTGCGCGGGTGGAAGGTCGGTGTCGGCTGAAAGAAAAATAGCAAGCGTACCTTCAGCGATGCGCGTGACAGCTTCGGATTGATCACCGTTTGTCTCTTGAAGGGCAAAAAGGACATCGGCCTCGGACCAGTCTGGGAACATCTCGCGAATTACAGAAGTCTTATCTCCGTAGAGCTTTCGGAGCTCACCCAGATCGCCATCGTCGTCAAAGGCGGCGGGGGAGTCGCTGTGATCAGGCTTCTCGGCGCCGTTGGGTCTGCGACCTCCGCGACCAGCAAAACCACCGCGACCGCCGCGGCCAGAGCCTCTGCCGCGCGAAGCGGAAGACCGTGATGTGACCTCGGACATGAGGGGCGTCGAGGGTTAGGATTGATGTGATGGAGAAGAGAGGTAGCCGGAGCTTGGAGAGTAGAGTTTGGGAGGAGGTGAAGGTGTGAACAAGGGCAGCGGCCAGTCAGGTGGCCTCTGCAAGCAAACAAGGACAGGCAGAGGTGCGTAAACAAACGACGACCAGCTACCAAGTCCGAATCGACGGTAAGTGAGATGGAGGCGGAATCGACAGAAGCGACGGCGATGGGGGGTTGGAGTTGTGGTTGATGAAGAAGAGGATAAATGCAAGTGGAGGAAGCGAAGAGGGTTTTCGCCAAGGTAGTGGTGGTGGAGGCGGTAGTAGGTACCTGGGTACTGGGACTGTTAGAGCGAGTGCAAGGGAGTGGAAGGATGCCAAGGTTTGCCCGCCTATTTTGGTATTTTTAGTGGCCGGTGACGCCGCGCTGCCGACATGCCTTTAGCAGCTCGTCAGGCAGGTACATGGCCGAATCGCTGCGAGGCTCCTGACAACAGTGATCGTGGTTGGATTAGCGGTGCCTCGTAGCGCCGAGCTCCCTAAAAGCTCCCGCCAGGCGACCAACGTGTAGCCTTGGTATTAATAGGGGAATTAGATATCCAAAGTCGCTACTACCAACTAACATACCTACCTACCTACCTCCTAGCTGAGGTACGCAAATTATTATTATCTCTACTGTCGTGCACCGCCTGTGCACGCAAATTATGCGGTGTACCGAATTTATTGCTCCATCAAGTCCCTGCCTCCCTGCCTGGCGACGCACTACCCGCCCGCAAGCGGTAGCCTTGACCTCCTTGCTGCCCAGGGCAACGTCAAGACCCAAGTACCGGTACAACTCTTCCAGCCCACTCGCTTCTTCTGCCCTGGATCGAGCAGCACACTATCCGCGCGCAATGCCACGATTTGCCCTGGCACACGAGCAATCGCCTGTCCTCATACAGTGGGTGGTGTAGGGTTCTAGTCGCACAACGCATCGCCAAAGTCCGCCGTATTTCGCTACGTTGATATTTAGAGGTCAGCGCCTGCGCTCCTCCCTGATATACATATCCAAAACTTCATCTATAGTAAAAGTCCCTATCTTTACGGAGTATTCTGTAACTACCTGATATAATAGCTAGCTAGCTACCTCAGACACGAAGCTTGAACGAATGTCTTGGTACCGCGCCAGCTCGGTTAGCGCGCTGTTGTTACTCCACCTTTCTTGCTGTTTTTGCCTGTCGTCTCCGCCAAACAAAGCTCCTTCCATTTCAGGCACGTGACTTATCCCGTATCGATAAGCAATTGCTAACTGGTTAGATCGAAGACGTCGACTTGAATGACCTGATAAGGTCCATACCATCCGTCGACCAGTATTATCCATTGCCTCCTGTCTCACAACGGTGGACTAAAATACTTCGTTCGGCCTGCCGATAGGCGGCGCCGCCAGAACATTTTCGACAAACCACCCGCAAACCACCCGGCACCCGACATCATGTTTTCGACAAAACCCACCAACTCGCTCCGGAAGCTCTTTGCCGGCTACCATGAGCCCACCGGCCTGTCCGCGCAGCAGTCGCAAAAGCTGCTCGAAGGCCTCAAGTCGTCCTTTCGTCTGCAGCTCGACCAGGAGTACGGCCAGACCGCACTCAGCCACCCCCCGACAACCACACCCAAAACACCCAGAAACCCCTCCTCCTCGTCCCATGGCGTCGTGCGTCAGTCGGCCGCCAGCCGCCATCTGCGGTCCATCCTCGCCAACCCACTATTCTCCTACAACAAGCACAGTGCCACCGTCGCCTCTACCTTGCCCTTGCCGCTCTCGATGCCCAAGCGCGATCCCATGGACGACTTTGACCACGCCGTCGCCAAGGGCCTCATGACGCTCAACGCCGCCGCCGGCTGCATCATGACCAAGCAAAGGCAGATTGACGCCCGCGAGCTCGACACGGGCCCGGCCTCATCATCGGCCACGGCCCTGCGCGTCGTGCGCTGGCTGCGCGCGACGGGCGCCGAGAACGACTTTGCCTTTCTGGACCACAAGGCCTTTGTCAAGGCGCTCGCGCCGTTTCTTGTCGCGGAGAAGATGGAAGACATTGCCTGGCAGTGGATCCGCCAGACGATGCAGCGAGGCGACAGCGTCAACGAAAAGGTGCGTTTGCGCCGAGCGTCGTTTTTACTCGCGCAGCTCGTGTATATCAAGAGCCAGCCGCAGAACGGCAACCTCGACGGGGCCATATCCACCATTCTCCGCGCCGAGCAGCTGCTCGCCAAAGACCCGCTGCTTGCCAATCTCCTTGTCCTGCCGTGGCGCTCCGTGTCGTGGCTGTCCACGGTGGAATCCTACAGCCACCTCACGCCGTCGGAGAGCCTCTTTGACGCCCACCTCAGCACCGCCAGCCGCCTGCAGCAATCGCTCCCCGTCGAGACGGCCCACCTCCACCTCTACCACCCGACACATCCGGACCCCGCCCCCGCGATGCAGTTCTTCCGCGACAAAGAGCAGCTGCGCCGGCTCGTCCATGGCATCACCAGGGAGCAGTTTACCCTGGCGAAGCAGACGAGCCTCAATGTCGTGCCCTGGGTCGCGTATCTCGGCTATGATACTGTCAACCATCTAACTACCTCGGGACTTGGCCAAGAGGCGCAGAGCCTCAGGCAAATATTGCACGATGAGCTGGCTGGTCTCTTTACGCCACAGGCCCAGCCCAGCTGAGCGGCTGCCCTTTTCACATTCCTTATTCTCATGATACCCCCTCTTTATCGGCCACGCCCGAATGAAATCAGGCCGCCTCGAATGTATTATAAACCATTTATGACCATATTGAGCATCAGGATGCCTTCATTTTGCATAGGAACCGGACAAAACATGTCTGTCATATTCAATAACATACACAAAACTTTGCTCATAAAGACATTATTAAGTCTATAGTGACAGTAGCATACCAAACTGGCAGCTTCAGTCAAGCATGTTCCTGTCGCTATATATACCCCAAATCTAAAACGGGTTCATCTCCACCTCCCCTCTATGCAGACGGCCCCCCAATCCGACTCACCAGCCCTTCAGTCCGACTCATCGTCCCCAGAGTCGGAGAACCCATGAAACGTCTCGTCCATGTCCGACTCTCCCAGCGCGGCCTCGCCATTCGACGGTCCTGCCTCCTCCTCCTCGTCATCGTCGCTGCCCTGGTCCTCAATGTCAAAGAGGCCCCAAATGTCCCAGCGGTCGCCCTGCGCCTTGCGGCTGACGTACTTTGTGAACTTGAGCGTGCCGCTGTCGCGCATCACCAGTGTCAACTTGTTCCACGACGCGTTTTGGTGGAACAGGATATTGTCCTCGTCGCCGCTGGCCTTGTACACGGCGGCGTCCTCTTCGTCGTCGTCGTCGTCGGCCATGTATACTTCCTGGCCGCCCACATCCTCCACTTCTTCCACGGCATCCTCGACAGCCTCCTTTGCCTTGCCCTTGCCCTTGCCATTCGTCTCGGGCACCGCCTTTTCTTTACCCTTGCCTTTGCCCTTGCTTTTCGGCTTGACCTCTTCTTCTTCCTCCTCTTCCTCCTCCTCGTCTCCCTCTTCATCCTCGCCCCAGCCTGCGCTCGGCGTGATGGCCAAGTTCATCTCCAGCCTGGCCGCACCCTCGTGGTTCGTCGCCAGCGTGTAGTCGTGTCCGCGCCGGAAGCGACGCGCCGTGATGTCGTGCGTCAGAACGCGTCCGTGGGCCGCGACCGCGAGCCAGTTGCGAAACGCGCGGCTGGGCAGCACGTGGTCGAGCAGCTCGGTGACGGGCGACTCATCCTGCGAGGTGCGCAGCTCGTCTGGCAGGCTGGGCTGCTGGTACAGGTAGCGGTGCTTGTGCGGGGGCCGCGCGACCTTCCAGGGCGTTGTCTTCTCAATGGCGCTGCTCTCTGCCGGCAAGCCCTTTTGCTCCTGCGCCTCGACGTACGTGCGCAGACGCTCGGCAAACTTTTTGGAGAGAAAGTTGTCGAGCGTGATGATGGAGCGCTCCAGGAACAGCTCCGACACCTGCTCGAGCGTGTCTGGCGTGAGGTACGTGGGGGAGATGTACTGGAGCAAAAAGGTGAGGTCGGCCTCGTCAAACTCCTCCTCCTCGCCCGTCTTGGCCTTCTCCGCCTGGGCGACGGACACGACGCGGGCCTGCGGCGCGTCGTACTGGGCCGGATTGCCCTGCAGCTGCATCAGACTGCTGTTGGTGGCGTTCTTTTCCTCCTCGCCCTGCACGAAGCCGTCCTCGCCGGGTTGGGGGATGTGAAACCAACCACTGATAGCCATGCGCACACGGCCGCCGTCCTTGTCCAGCTGCGCCTTGTTCTCAGCATGGTACACCTCCTCGACGTCGTGGAAGCTCTCGCCGGGCTGCACGGCGAAGAAGCTGAGCTGGTTCCACGCCGGCGGGATGCTCTTGACGACGTCGGGCAGGGGCGTCTTGGCGACCACGCCGTCGCGGCCCTCTTGCTCCTGCACCGGGAAGAGGCGCAGCGCGCCGCCCCAGCCGGCCTGCCACGGCGTGTCCGGGTCCGTCAGGTACAGGATGTAGCTGACGCGGCGGCTGCCGATGACGTCGTCGTGGCACAGCAGGTAGCAGCCGGGCGTGTAGACGTTGATGGCCATGTCGGTCTTGCGGCCGCTCAGCGGCCCGCAGCCCGTGATGCCAGCGACGTAGGCGCGAAACGACTCGGAGTAGATGGCGTCGCGCAGCGCGAGCAGCGAGGGCAGCTTGGCCAGCGATTGGTCGTCGAGGCCGTCGAGGTTCGCGAGGTCGCCCGACTGGTGGATCTTGTAAATATCCGTCTCCTTGGGCGTGAAGTGCACATTGGCCCGGACCTCGTCGCGGACGGCGCGCAGCAGCGTGTCGTCGACGAGCTCGTGGATGACGGCGTGCTTGTAGGGCGTCGACTCGGCGTACTCGGTCTTGTAGGCTTCGAGCACGTTGCTGTCAAAAAGCCCGTCGCGGAACCGCTTGCGCGCCTTTTCGGGGCTCAATGCTAGCAGGGCAAAATGTTAGCGAGAGCGACGCTCTCGGTGTTGCGGCGCATGCAAGCTCAGACGCCGAGAGCTGCGCTCAGGGTACTTACAAGCCTTGGCTCGCTTGGAGGAGGTCGCCCGTCCTCCGGCAGAGCCACTCGCCTTTCTCTTCATTGTGAAGCAGAGGCTCTGGCAACTTCAATTGGGTATGTGTTGGTTGTGAAAGGAAAGGTGAGCTTGACGGGAAAAAATGTCAGGCCATGGTGCTGGAAAGTGACGACTTTTTACTGGGTCTGGCTCTTTACCGAGCTGGACGGCCCCGCCAGCCAGCTTGCCGCCCTGGATTCGAGAGACGTTGATAGTATAACGACGAAATTTACCAATTATATTACTATTTTCACTGTCAAAATTTGGATGAGATACGTCCAAAATGAGAGCATTTTTGTGAGTTGAAATTGCTTCACTGCTTCCGAGGGTCATGGTGTGCGAGTAGGTTGGCGGGTGGTTGTGCGATGGATATCAGAACCTACCCTATACTAACGCCTGTGCCGACAATTCGTGCTTGTGGCTCTGTTTTAAAACCAAAATGTTTTTGTAGTACAACTTCAGTGCCATCGCAACTTGACAGTCTATCTCTGGTCAGCTACCGGGCAGTTTACCGAGAAAAAGCACCGCGTTTCCCCGACATTGGCTGAATCTTATCAAACCTCAAGTAACCGGTAAACCTAAATACAAGCTGGATGTAAGAATATACCGATACTCTCAGAGAAGTAAGAAACAATTGCGTTTCTAATATTTCTCAGTCACGAGCTCAGCCAATCATGTAATCTGAAATCGAAGACCGACAGCTTGATAACTGATTCCAGACTATACCAGGCGGCTCATGCAGCTTCTAGGACAAGACAAAAACGAAAGAACCACTGTATATTCCATCGCCCGTGATTCAGACGCATGACTAATTGGAAGGCGCAGCAACGCCAGTTCGCCGTGAAATATCCTCCGTCCCAGAGCTCTTCCTCCAGTCAAAGGCATCATCACCCACAACCTGCGGCCTGGACCCGAGCGCGCGTCGTAAGATCCACTCCTTACTCGTCGCAGCATCCTCCTGGACGCCATCCTCGAGCGGCGGTATCAAAGCACTGCCGCCCAGTCTTGTCAGCGGCACGTCGTCCTCCGGGCGGCTAAAGTACACGACCGAGTACCTCGGCCACGCCGCCTGCGCGCCGGGCGGGGACACGACGCGGTGAATGTTGGAGCGCAAGACGCCGTTGGTGAACTTGACCAGGGCGTCGCCGACGTTGACGATGGCGTGGCCCGGCAGCGGCCGGACATGGGTCCAGGCCGCGGCGCCGCCGGCGCCGCCGGGGGGCAGGATCTGCAGCCCGCCGAGACGGTTGAAGAGGATGGTGAGGCTGCCAAAGTCGGTGTGCTCGCCGAGGGCAATCTGCCGGTCGTCGGCCGGCTGCGGCGGCGCCTTGATCAGCCGCACCTGGTCCCCGCCGGGCACGTCCGCCCGGTGCAGCGAGGGGAGCGTGTCGGCCGGCAGCTGGAGAAACTCGTTGAGCAGGGTGAGCAGCAAATGCACAATGTCTTGGGCGGAGTGCATAAAGGCTTTCAAAAAGACGCGCTCTTGGTCTAGTACTTGAGGCGCAGGCCACGGCTTTGATGTTCCGAATATGTCGTCTCGGCTGATCTAGTCTGATGTTAGCTACAGATAAAGAGGCTGCGTTTTCAAGAGAACTTGCATTGTAGAATTCATTTCTGTCCAGCCGACCTGTTCTATCCGCAACAGAGCCTCCGAGATGTTTGTAGCCAAAATACGTCTTTTGCGCAGAAAAGTCGTACTTTTTCTTCTCTTCCAGCGGCAAATCGAATAACTCCTTGGCCACGTCGAAAAGACGCGTGGATTGTTTCTGAATCGTGTCGCCAGGGCCGTCAAGGTGGAGATAGAAGAAGCCCAAGTCGCGACATGCCTTTGTGAAGCGCTCAATCTCTGTGCTGTCGCGATTTGTCAACTTGAGCAGCGAAAGACGAAGTAAGGGCGCTGTCGCGACGTCGGCGGGGAACTCGGGCAAGTTGTCCGCCATTTTGACGGGATCCAACGGGTGACTGTTCTGATTTCCTACAATGCCAATCGAGAGTTGAAAGAGATGAAAAGAGTAACCCCACGGTATACGGCAGAGCTAACGCACAAGAACGAACTGTGAACCTCGGCATCCAAGTCTTCTCCCCAGACTATCCCCACCCCCGCATTTTCATCGGCGGCGCGCCCGATGACCAGAGCTACGACTTATACCTAATTTGCATTGATACCATTGTTAAGGATAAGAAGACAGCAGAGTCCACTTAAATAATGTTGCATAATCAAAAGTCTTTGGAACCTAGCCCTAGGAAAGTAAAGGAATATATACCTTGAACATGACAGCATCAAGGCCTCGCGCAGTACAGCTCGATGAAAGAGAATATATACATGATTTATTTGCAGCTTTTTACCAGCCTGTTTGTACAACTACCCTTGCAACAAGGATAAAATGACCCTCCCTTGGCCGACCATTAATGGCCTCCACCATCCGCTAGCTACAGGTAAAAGAGGAGGCGACAGTAGGATCGCCACCCGTGTACCTTGAAGACTCCGGATACATGCAGACCGACCGCTGACTCGTCGTCCCATTCGCGGCCGTGGCAACCGCATCCAGTCGCACCGGCGCCTTGCCATTTTCCACCCAATCCTCCAGCACGCGGAGCATCGCCGTCGGGTTCGGCCCGAGGCCTCCCGCGCAGTGCATGACGCCCGGGGCCAGGAACAAGCGGTAGTAGTCGGTGACGTTGGCGTCGAGCGCCAGCGCGTCCTGGTAGTACCGCACCGTGTTCATCGGGGGGATCAGCTCGTCCGCGAAGCCGTGAAACGTCAGCAGCTTGGTGTCGGTGCGGCGCAGGTGGCGCAGGTCGGCGTCGTTGGTGCCAATGGCCCAGTCGTACTCGGCCCCCGCCTGGGCGAAGAACTGGCGGTACCGCTCGTATGTGATGGTGAGCGGGTTCAGGCCGTAATCCTTGGCGACAAACTTGGGGATCCATTCGTTGGCGAAGACGACGCCGTGCGCGACGCAAGCAGTGCTGCTGTTTTGGCTGCAGCTCGTGGGGGCAACGGCGGCGAGATTCGTGCCGACGGCGGAGCCGACAAAGAGCGGGCGACCGTCAGCGTCGGTTGGGCCGTCGAGGATCTGCTGCACGATGAAGGCATGCTTGTCCGTCAGCGTGATCCGGCCGCCGCCGTCACAGCTGGCCTGCTCGCCAACGAGAGAGTACGGGTCGAAGCGGCACGTGCCCGGCAGGCCGATGACGCCGTCTTCGAGGCCGTCGAGCCTGTCGCAGACGGCAATCGAGGCCTTGGTAAACGCATCCAGGACGCACGGGGCGAGTACGGTGCGCGTCTCGTGCATTGCCACAAACGGCCACTGCTTGCCGACAATCAAGTCGTTCCAGTTCATCGCCGGGGCGTTGGCCAGGATTCCGTCAAAGAGCTCCGAGTATCGCTGCGCCACCATCATGCCCTGTCTACCACCCTGCGAGCACCCGACCCAGTACGCGCGCTCGGCGGCCTCAGCATAGTACGCCTCTGCAAACCCGCGCCCGAGCAGCGCCAGGTCGCGGAGCGTCGCGGAGCCCATGTCGACGAGCAGCGGGTAGTTGACCGTGGTGCCGTTGTCCTTGAGTGCCCAGGATATGTCCTGGCCGTAGTGCCCGCCGTCGGTGGCGGCGGCCGCGTAGCCTAGGGCCGCCATGATGGGGAGCACCTCGAGGGGCGGGTTGGTAGCGAAGCCGGCGCCACCGATGGCGACGAACTTGCGGTTCCAGCCTGACAGCGGCAGGCCGAGGAAGACCTGCACCGCGTCGTCCCATCCGGGGTGCGTGTAGGTGATGGTGACGTTGCAGAAGCTGATGCGGGCGGGGGCCGGCGGCACGGGGACGAAGACGCCAAAGGCGAGCTCCTGGGGCACGGGGTGGTCGTTGACCTGCTCGGCGGATATGTCCAGGATGGTCATGTGTGGCGCGAAGAGCTCCACGGCGGACGACTGGCATGGGTTGCTGGGGTCGAGGGTGAAGATGTTGCCAATGGCGTGGGCGGCGGGGGTCAAAGCCGCCGAGACGGCCATGGAAGCAAGCAACGTGAGAGAGAACATTTTTATCATTTCCTGTTCAAAGTGTCAACATTTGCTTCGCACGTCGCAGAGCGTTGGGCTGCAGCAAAGTTACTTTATTATATCCTTCTTCTTTCTAGCGAGCCGACTCCAAGGGCCGCAGCGCCTGTCGGAGGGTGCGGACAAACAGGCCGGATTTGTAAACAAAAAGCTCGCCATGTCTTGGATAATGCCGTTTCGTCATATGTCTAGAACAAAAATGCCGCTTCAGGATTTGGATGCCCGTGCTCTCGCCATGGAGACCAACACGGCCGCAGCGCACTAGTTCTCTAGGCGAGAGACTTTCACCGACAACGAGGCAGTGTTTGAGCCGACATGACTTAGTAGTGAAGAAGTGGCAAGCGTTGTGCCGTGAAGCCGCGGACGTGCCAAACCGATGAGAGGAACGGATTCGAGGATGCAACTAGCGCTTGTTGCTAGTTAGCTTTGCCCCTTATGAGGGTCCGCCGGAGCTCTCAGATACGCAGACGCCACGCCGGGCCGGATAGATGGATAGATGGACGGACAAGGCCGTGCTTGGGTGGGTAGTTGACGTAATGACGTCTCCTGAATCGCGAAATCTTGTTGCACTGCCCGCACATAGTCGGTGGCAGCGTTGCAGCAAGATACGTGTCAACCAGGGGCAGGGGCATGTCCGAGGGCTGCGATAATAGTGTCCAAACTCGCACGCGGAAATTCCAATTATGGCGCAGCAGCCCCCTGCCAGACAAGAGGGACAAGAGGATCAGGAAGAGTGCGTTGGCTGGCCTAGGTGCGGGTGGTTCGGCGAAGATGGAAGATGGTCCCTGTTTGTCGCTGGTGATTTCCACGAGAGGTCTCCACCAGTTTGTTTGTCGTCGCTTCGTCGCCGGCGTTATGAGTCAACTCCAGCGCCGGCTTTATTGCAGCATAATTAATTACCGCTGACAGCGCAGGCACTTCAGAGCTGTATTGTAATTACCACAGACAGCCCAGACACTCCAGAGCCGTATTGGCCGACTCGTCGGCCGTCAAGCTCATCATTGATCAATATTGTCCTATTCTCGGACATTATCCACAAGGCTACTGCCATCTTGTGGGCGGAATACGCGGAATCTTCGATCCATCAAGCCACCATCTTGAATGAATCGACTAGTCAAGTGTCAATGCTGATTGTACAACAAGACGAGAGCCGCCGATGATATAGTGCTGGTGGGTTAAACGGGAGATAGCAGGCCATGACAGAACTACATGCGCCAGTCGATAGATACAGTAAACAATCTATTTCCGACATTTCCATCCATGTTTTGCCCTATCATCCTTACATACAATGGATTCCAAGCAAACCAGCCCACAATTGCCACAAAATTCGCAAAAATCTCCACAACACTTCAACTAGTCAACCTGCATATCATCTTCTTCATCATCATCATCGTCATCATGACCAAACATCTCTTCGCGCCCCATTGAGCCCATTGTGCCCTCCGCCAAGGACGCGCCCGCGGAGCGGGAGAAGAAGAAGTGGCTCTCGTGGAGCATTCGTCGCTGACAGACGAACCCGACCGGGGTGTAGAGAATATCTTCCGTCTGACGCCGGAAAGCGAGCCATTCTTGCAGAAACTGTAGGGGCTGTTCGCTTTGACGGCGGCCGAAACAAGCCGCCATTTCCTGGTCGGGGAGGAGACCCAGCCATGCGAGCAGCGCTTCGTACTCTGCAAAGTCAAAGTATAATCGCCCACTGAAGATGCCAACTTCAATGCCGAGCCACGAGGGTATCTGGCGAATGCTGGGCCATCGGGGGACCGTCAGGTAGCTGAGGCAATGGAAACTCTGCATTGATTTTGTCACGGGAGCAGTGTAGCCTAGCAGCCAGACAAGCGGCTTGGCCATCTTGCGAAGCAGAGGTATGACAACATCCGCCTCCTCCGGTATGATGATGAGACCGGTTTCCGTCGACGGATTCCACAGAATCCAATGTACGGGACGCTGTTGATCGTTAGTATGCTGACCATGGGAACCCTGCTCAACGACCGACTCACCACAATATCCTCCTTCTCCATCATCTTGTTCGCTGCAATCGTACGAACAAATTCGCGAGAGACGTAGAGACAAGATTTTGTTGCCTGTATTCTAAACAGTCTCCCAATCTTGGTCTTTCCGATGTACTCAAAGGCCTGCATCAGCGGCGCCTGTGAGCGGGTGGCGCGCGTATCAAGGCAGCCAGTCTTTACAAAGTCTAGCAGGCCACGATCAGGACCTGGAAAAGTAAGCGCAACGTGCCGTCTTTGCGTTTCCTTTTCACGCATGTGCTCAACCTCCAGCACCACCTCCCGTTCCTGTTCTACTTCCATGAGCGCTGACGAGCAGCTCGACTGCCCGTGTCTGGCCATTCGCTCCACGTTCTGGGTGAACGTTAAGAGGCGGCGAGAAGTCAGACGGAGGCGGTCCGTCGGCACGGGAGGACCCCCAGGACCGTACATGTGCTGCAGGGTCTGCTGCTCTTCCTGTCGAATTACACCGAGTACCTTTTTGAGGTCGTTCCCGCTCGTGGCGTAGTCGGGGTGCTTCCACAACATATCGGTGCGACGGCAAAAGTCCCAACACTGCGAGAGATGGAGACCCATCATCTGCTGATTGGCTTTGCAACTTTGATCAAGCAACCAGCGGACGACGTCTTGCGAGGTGAGATGGTAGGGTCCGACTTCGTCTTGCGTGCGAGCCGGACGCAGGTCAAGAATGGCACGGTATACCTCTGGCGGCGCTAGGAAGGCGACCGATTGAGTTGTCCCGAGCTGTCTCAGTCTCATCGCAGCTTGTACAGTCTGATCCTTGGTTTGGCCCAAGCTCAACGTCACTGCCCCCTTTGCGTCTGCTGGCAGCTTCAAATCCGTTCCTCGAGTGTGCCCTTCGTCAATGTACACGACACATGCCTCCATATCATTGGCAAACGGACTAGCAATCAGTGGCATTGGCTCTTTTTGAAATCTGGAGCACACCATGATTTGGCTGTTGGCCCCAAAATAGATGGCGCCTTGCGCTTGCGTATCAATATTGAGCCACTTTCTGGCAACCTCGTGGTTCCCCATTTCAAGAATATGTGCACCTGCATCGATGAGTACTCGAATGTCATTTTTGCAGAGAAACATCAGAGTGGCTTTCTCGTCGAATCGAACCCCCGCCTCGGCCGTCAAGTGGCAGTCTGCATTTCTTCTGTCCAGAAGGTGACACAGTACTTGCGCATTCGTGTTGAGTAACTCGGGCAAGTCATTCTGCTCAATAGTTTGTGGAAGGATGTGTTTGTTGTCATTGGTTCCGCTGAAGCCTGTTGTCAAACAGCGTGGTTGGCTGCCACCACCCGAGTGCAGCAATGGAATATCCCACCCGGACGCCACGAGTTTTACCGGAAACTGCTTTGCGAATCGAGGGAAAATATAGGTATTGAGGTGATGGTTCACTACAGTGCGGTCAAAACGCAGGTACGCCCAAAGTGTCTCCATCTGGACCTCATTCTCGGGGTCGAGCATACTCCAGGACCGGAGCGAGGAGGGCAGGGCGGTGCAGGAGCAAACCCACCGATCGTAGTGGGCAGCTGCATCGTCAGATTGCACGACACCCTGTAGTCCTTGCTTCAGCTGCTCCTTGGAAAGTCCCTGTTGATAGAAAGCGAGACACGTGAGAAGCAGTGTCGTGTCTGGATGTCCGTACTCGGCCGCTTGCGAAGGAATTCCCTTTGCTTCGAATGGCACGGCAATGGGTTGCCTGTCTGGATGCAGACCGTACTGAATATTCCATTTTTTCTTCAGACAAACCACGAGAATACGTTGTGATATCAGTCCGCGGACAAGGTAGAGAGTTTTGGGCCCAAATGTATCGTCTTTCAGTGAAGCCAACGCGGTTTCCCATTCTGACGAGGAGACATTTGCGCCGTTTATAATCTTCCTGATAAGGTTCTTCGTATCCTTGGATCCGGACTCTCGAATCTGAAGCTGTGGTAGCCGACCGTCGCATATATCATCAACAAGCAGCTCATTTAGCGCATCCTCAGGCTCTGTCGTGATGAAGTGTAGGATCGGAAAGCCTTGCCGTCTCTTAACAACAACAATTTTTCCTTCAAAAGACTTTTGCAGATTTGATGAATGGCTCTCCACAAGACCTAGAAGGTGCTCCACGACCAGCCAGCGATACGGATGACCATCAAGTGTTGTCAAATCTCCGCTAGGATAGATGAGTTGCGTATGAACAGACAGAGTCATGTCAGACTCATCCAAAATATCACGACACGTAGAATCCAGCCACTTCTGAATTTCCACCATTTGTTTGCCCTCCTCCAGTCGATGGTCTGCAAGACGCTGCAGCCCGCTCAATTTGAACGAAAGAACATGGGCTGGAATGCATAGCATGAGGCCACCCATCTGCAGAATCTCTTCATGAATACTCTTGTATGTAGAAAGTGTGGCTGCGTCGGAAGCCGAGTGTCTAGAGAATGGGATGTGGCGGACTTGACGGCCGATGAGTCCGCCGATACGGCTCTGAAGTACCTGCGCCGTCTGCAGTAGCAGAGCTTTGGGGACAATGACTCTACAGAGTCGGGTAGTATCCGCCAATATGATTGCCGCCATTGGCATTACGATTGATGTTTTGCCTGTTCCCATGTTCATCTGCAAGACGGAGTTCTGGCCCGATTGTGGAGATACGATGGCCTTGGCGACATCTACCTGTAATGGTCGTATGAGGATATTATTGTCAATTTCCAAAAGCAGCCATTCTGGAAAGTCGGCAGGGCTCCAATTGGAGTGGCCCTCGACTTCCAACTCTCCGCGTAGCCTTTTATCGTCGCAAGCTGATTGCGCATCCTCTATACGTAGCAAGTGTTGCAACTTGGTGACTGAAATGCCTAAATGAACGAGCGACTGTTGTAGTGGTTGTGGAAAGGTTCCGTAGCTTTTGAGACGCAGCTGCTCCAGCATCGTGGTAAGTGAACTGCACGGCCAAAGTTGACCAGCATCGAGCCAGAAGTGGCAAGCATGTTGTCGCGTCAAGAGCTGACTGATATCATGTAATTGAGAATACAGGTCTTGCTGGACGCTGACAATTTGAGCAGCGATATCGTCTTGTTCCGAATTGAGAGGGGCGGCTTTGGGCTTGGGCTTCTCGAGAGACACTGCCATTGCCACAATGGACTTTTCAAGGTCTTGGCCATATTGCTGCTGTATCATATTTCGAGAACTTTTGAACGGCTGAACCAATCTAAGTAGTGTAGAAAGCTCCCTCGAGATGGATGGGAGTCGTTTTAGAATGCTTTCATCCCTAGTTTGACAAGCAACCTCTGGAGACGGCACCTTGCCGCGATGGGAAACTTCCAAAGATCTTGTCCCAATTGGTTCTTTGATAGTACACAAAATCTCCGAAATAGATGGGACTCGAAACGCAGAAACTGCATGAACGAGGGGAGATGACGGAACAACAACATGGCAGGCACTCTCGCTCTCGATAAGGATATGACCATTGTCGCCTTCTCCGTCTCCGTCCTCGCGTAGTGACTCGACCGCGGCTTCGAGTGAGTTGACATATTTCGACAGCGCATGGTTTTGTGAAAGACGTTGTAGCTCGGGCTCCAAAAAAGTCCACGTATTCTCTCCCAGTACCTCCAACCCCAGTTCGTTGCATCTCAGACGGAATTGGTCTATGAGAGGCACATTGGGCCATAAACTAGACAGCCATGAAGCGATACTCTCAGCCTCTTGCTTGATTTTGTAATCGTAGGCGTCTGCAGTGGCTGCCACAGCGGATCGAGCCTTGCGGGCTACTTTGTCCTCTGATAAGTACACGGCATAATTGTCCTGACAAGATACGACCAGCTTCCTGATAGCCGATTTATTAAAGCCTTGATCAACACCAATACTCGAGAATCTTTCAATGTCGGGTGGCTGTATTTCTAGCAAAAGAGAGTTGCTTCCGATGGCCGCCAACCACTCGACGGCGTTTGCGCTACGATCTGTGCCAAATACAAAGAGCGCGACACTCAATTGAGCGATGTGGTCTTGGGCCACATCAGAAGATGACCTGAGCCGTCCAATTAATGGCCCAAACATCTCCGATGCTTCGGCATTCAATATTCGCGCAATATCCAGGGTATTGAGCGTATCGAGCGAATCGTTGAAGCCGTCGAAAGATTGCCACTTCTTTAGCATTGGGTACAAAGACTGGGCTAGTGGAAGCTTGCTCGACTCATTTCGCAGCTGCTTGACGCTACGATACACTCTGACATTTTCTTCCGAATCTGCGCCACGTTGGCGGTAACGCTCGTTCTGGCTGACCTGGGATAAGAGTTCGATGTCGGAAGGGTGCTCTATGCGCTCGTAGATTTGACGACGGAGGATACCCCGGAGAGAGAGGGAGCTCATGTCAGGTAGAAGATTATTACTCGCCTCCTGGTTCTTTGTAGAGCCATCAAACGTGGCCAATGCTCGTGACTGACGTAGTATATCGCCTGCGTGGATTGCGAGCTGCTCGTGCTGGACTGTGGCCGTCAAATTTTGATCCCAAGTCACATGCTGGTAAAGTTTAAGATGAGGTGGATAATACTCCCTCTTCGGACTCAGCTTCATGATGGTTGACAAGGTGTCCCTCGGGATCAAATTAAGTGGCTTCCACGGCTGGCTTTGGGCGGCAGTCAGGCACCTGCACGCCTCTTCTGTTCCGGTCCGCCCAGTGAGTTTATCCAGTAGGGGAAACGACGTCAAGGCATGAATGAGAGCTTTCAAATAAAACAACGCCGGCTCCGGGGCACAACTCAGCCTGCCTAGAAGCGGATCGACAGTGAAGAGAGCATACTGCCCGGAGTTTGATATCCTGACCGACACGTGCGGCCCTCTCCTCTCCCAGCAACAGGATCCGATAGGAACAATGACGCTTTTATGGCGAGGATTGGTGATGCTCCGGAGAACAAGCTTGCTCTCCAGACCATAGAGCGCGCCGATATCCTGCACGGGGTCAACCTCGGCCTTCAGTTGGTTCGAACGCAAAAGGCCATGGTTGACAAAGAAGTGCATCTCCAGTCGCTTAATCTCGACCCAGAGACGGCTGTTGCCACTCTGATAAATGATCAAGTTGGTAGGATCCTCAAAGTGTCTGAAAATGTTGGCAATGAGCCCGCCGACGCGCGACTGTGGCTCGACGAGATTTGTCCACTTCTTGCCTCTCTCCACACCGTTCATTGTCAACCTGACGCCTTTGCGCGTCGCCGTCTTGGTCGGGACGTTTAATACCCAGTTGGAAAATTTTGAAGCCCATATGTCTGGCTTCCGTCGAATCTCCAGGTCGCTGGTGAGTAGATTGAGCCAGTGCACGCAGTCATCCACCAGCCTCAAGGGAAGGTCCGATGTGGAATGGCTTCGAAATAGCTGGCGGGGAACGTACTGGAGGAGGTGAACTCCGAATCTGGCGCGAATGATGACTTCGCCTTGGCTTATTCCGACATGAACTTCGTGTTTGTGGGCATTGCTGATGATCTGATACTCCATTCCGGCGACACCTGAAGCCCTGGTGAGGAGGTGACGGCCCTGGAAAAGCTCCAAAATGCCCGCATCTTGTTGAATCGCGAACGGCAGTCGTCCGAGGGCCTTACCATCTATCAATAGATGACCTTGGAGAGGATTGTAATGGATGGTCTGTGAGGAGACAATCTTTGTCGCAATAGTCCTGCATTCGAGCCATTCACCCCCATGGCAGAACTTCCAGCTTGAGAATGATCGTGGTTCCGAGCCTCCAAAATGTGGCCATGTTTCGTTAATTATTTTCTCCAGTACTGAAGTGTTCTGAAACGTCATCTCTTGAATTTTGTCGCTTGTACTGCTCGCCCAGCTCAGATATTGCGCTAGAAGCTGCTGCAGATCTGGAGAAACGGCATCCAAGTCTACGATGAGGTTCTCCGAAAGCGCAATGGATGCTCTGAAGAAATGCGCAGCATCCTTCTTCCCAAGAGGAGTCTCGTTGAATGAGGTGCCCATAAAGGTCTGGCGACAAAGCAATGATGCATGGACTGCGCTGGCGGCAGCCCTGCGTGCCGTCTCCCCGTCCCCTGTGGACCTCACTTCCTGACGAAGCTGGCTAATCCACTGAGAGAGGAGAGTGCGCATCTCATCTAGAAGAGCCGTGGCGTTTGGTTTGTTGCTCTCTGGGCCCAAGTGTAGCAGTCGCAGGGTGAAAGTTGTGAGAATACTCATACCATTCAGGTCTCTTCTACCAGACTGCAAGGCACTCAAACGCAGGCGAATCTGATGCTCCAACGATTCGCAAAAGCCACTGTCATGGAACGCGGAGTGGACTTTACCCAGGACATCCCGCTTGCCTGTTGCATGCCGTGGCCCAGACTGCAACGCCAGCCGTCTGAAGCACTTGACCGTCGAGGCAGTGCTGAGGTTCAGGTTGGTAGACCCCAATTCAAGCAGCAGCACCATCCATCGCCTATACGAACCAGATATGGCTCCCTGAAGTGCCTCAAACTCATGGTAGGACATGCCAGGAGGGCATTTGTTTTGATTGGCGGCGACTTCGTAAGAGCTTGGGTGGTCGTGGCCATCTCTGTAGAGCAGAGGTTGACCAAAGGGATCTGTAATTCCTTTGGGAAGCCATGGGCCCAGTAGATTGTGATACCACGGCGGGTCTCTGCAGTCGTTTGCCCAGATGCCGTTTTCTGCGTCGTAGTACGCAAATGTCGGACCGAAGGGGAGCAGCACCTCGACTTCCTTCGTCGGCATCTTCAGCTTCCTATAGTGGGTTTGCAGATAGGCTTTACTCTGGGAAGCTAGTGTAATCGAGGTGCTTGACTTGGTCTTATTCTGCCACAGCTTCAAAGGCTCAAAGTCGGCCAAGACAATGACCGCGTCACGTTGTCTCGTCTGGTTCTCCCACCCCAGCATTGCCAGGCGCCAAGTAGCATCGCGATATGCCGCCAAAAACTCAGGTATATCTAGCTCCAGCAAAACAGCAGCTTTATGTGTATTCTTTCGGGGGAGGAACTCTTCGTGAACTTTGATATCGAGGCGCGCGCGAGTTCGTGCCTTGTAGCATCGGGTGCATCCGCGGACGTCGAGGCTGCCGTCGCGCTGCCGCTTGCACACACAATGGAAACTTTGCATCTCGGCCGTCAACTGTTGGTGCTTGGACATGATTTGGGTGAGCTCTCGACGTTTGACCTCGACAGACTTGACAGACGCCGCCTCAATCCGCTCCCTGAGGGATTCCAGTCCATATTGCTCCCCATACTCTCTCATGTATGTCGTAGCAAATGCGGCCTTGTTCATGGGGTCGGTAAAGATGGTTTGCGTAGGGTCAGAACAGAGTGCGATGCGCTCGGCAATGTGTTGTTGCACTTTGCGAAGTCGAGCCATGTCACTCTTATCTATAAAGCAGAGCATGTCGAGAGCCTCGGGCACAAATACTGGGTGGTATTCTTTGAGTGCTGGAAAAATGCTGATAGCTCCAAGGTCCATGAAAACCCACAACTCAAACAGATTGAGTAAATACTGGCTCGTGAGTATAGCGTCGTCAGCATACTGGCTTCCCACCGCACCCATGTAGGTCGTAATCGCCCGAGCCATCCTCAAGCATGAGTCCTCAGGTGTGAGAAATGACTTCTGTAGCTCTGACTTGGCTTTCTGAGCAGCTTTTACAAGCTTGGAGTGCTGAGTCGCGACCTTATTGACTTGCTCTACTGTTCCTTCTGCCTGCGACGGAACGCTGAGCACCGAAGTACGCTGAGGCAGGGCGATGTTTGCTGAGAGAAGCTCTCTGAGTTTTGGGCCGCTATTTGCAAGCTGGAGGACCAGGTCGCTTTGATCGGCACTCCGTGGGAGAAGAGGAATTGGCCGCACCGTCTTTCGTTTGTGCTCCTCCCAAAGGGCCTCGACGACATGCTTGGCCGTTGTAACAGTCCATTCGAAAAACCTTTTTTGCTCGAAGAATTGTTTTCCGTAGCTCTGTCGAACCTCTGCCGGAGCGTTTGCAATCTCTGTTTGCAATTTCGCGAGCCGACGGCAAAGCTTCGCTTGCAGCAGCAGTACCCGCTCCGGGTGCAGACTCGTTTGGCACTCGGCGAGCAGATGAGCCAAGACGATGCACATGAGCAGCTTGTAGCGAATGCGGCTCGCACATGGATCCGGATCGAATACGTCCACCATGAATCGCTGAGCAAAGACACGAAGCAACAGCCAATACGGCGAACGTCTCCAGGGCTGCTCTGATGATCCCAATACTACATCGTCTCTGACGCGCTTTTGCACCGTAGTGACCGGAAATTCCCTTCCCATAGCCTGCAGAAAGGACATGAGCATCTCTGTAACGAGTGCCGGGCTCGGCGTGTCGCGTGTTTCGACGACGAGCTTGTTCCCCTTCAAGGCTCGGGCGGCAAATTGATCAAAGGTAATTTCCGTGGCCTGCTCCATGAATCTGGCTATTGTTTCTTGCAGCAATGGCTTGGCGAACTCGGTCATTGGGATGGCGACAGCGCGACAAGGAAAGGGCCATAGGAGGGCGTACTTGGCTTCGAGCACGGCAGGAGCAGAGGCCGACACCTCGAATGCCTCAAACACGACCTCATCGGTTCTGCAGTAGTGGTCAGAACCAGAGAGTAGGGGTGCAGCTTAACACGGTTGGACTTACTCGACATTTTTATGGATAATAATGGCAGCATTTTGCTGCGCAATATGTAGGGCAAGCCAGTTCGCGCCGTCACCCTGCGCAATGGTAGACAAAGTTGCGACCAGCGTCTCGACCGAGGCCGGACGGTGGTGTTTGCGTGTCAGCAACAGACAAGTCTCCAAAGTCTTCCAGTGACCGGTTAGATCTGTGCTCTGAAGCTGCTTGCATGCTGTAATCAGGCGGGTAGCAACCTCCCAGTTGAGCAGGGCAGGGTCGTCTTCTGGTGCGGCTGGAAGCTTCGATGGCAAGACCAAGTGGTCAAAGACTGCTTCCAGCAGCGACTTTCGCTCTGCCGCCATTGAAGAAAATAGTATTTTACAGACCAGATCCGATATGTTGGGGATGTCGCTCGCTTGTAAGAGTAAGACCGTAAAGTACAAAGGTAGAGCTGCAGATTTGTTTTTGACAGAGACAACAATTCTACCCGACAAGAATAGTCTTGCAAGAACAGGTGTGCTTCACGTGTTTGCAAAGGCTTCATTCACTGTTATGCACGCCTGCCGTGAAAGAAAGCGCCTCGAAAAGTATGACAAATTCTGGCCTGAATGCATGTCTTGAATCAGTGAACAGATTCATAGTTGGCCGGTGGCAGAGTTGGCCCGTGAAAGAGTTGCCCAACAGCTCAATCAGCCTTGGGCTGCAGGGATCCGAAGCCATGGGCTTGCTTGGATCCTTCAAGCGTAACCGGGCCGCATCTACGATGACTTGGGGAAGTGTCCATCCGTAGCCGGTGGCCACATAACCCGGCCGGCATCTCAAGGCAACACAGTTTGCTTGAGCGGATCTTTACTCATGATTCTCTTACATCGGTCGCTACGATTTGGTATTGGTTTCGACTCTTGTTTTAACATCTGGATCTGCTCGCTGGTTGATGCACCAACTGCGGTCAGCCTCGCACATATCAGGCACCAAACTCCCACAATGAGTGATGAGCGCGCCCAAAATAACTCGTATCAATCTTGGTGATTGGCCAGGCCACTCTGCATGCGTACCACTGTTAAGCATTGCTGCCCAATCGTGGAACGAATCTCAACATGACCTACCACCAAATATCTTGGATTTGATCGTTGCACTCGGGAAAAAAGAGTCTACTCACGTCTAATTTAATTGTCGCAGGAAATTGAAGTAATTCTCTCCTCTTCTTTTTTTTTCTAGAGATTCCCCAGCTTGCGACTTTGCTTCTGAGTTGAGCCCATTCCGCCAATGTGACTGGCTACTACATCACCATTTTCGGGCCTTCCGATATGTCAACTTTTATTGCCATGGCTTCAAGAACCCGTAGACACAAGATCCAATGGAACAAGGAACGAGTGTATCAAGGTAGAAAGTAGCGGCTGCTGCCTATTTATAGCCTCGAGGCTCCGCCTCCTCAAAGCGCTTGCAGCCTGAAATCCGCCAGACAGTTTAATAGCGGAGTAAACAAAATAGAATGTACTTCAAGGGTCATCCAAGCGCGGTCCCTCAGCTTTTCTAATCATGTCTTCTAGTAGAATGTTATGCATGCTGATATAGAGTACATGTTTACAACGACGCTGGACTCTAATGGTCTCAATACTGCGATAGCCTCCATGAGACGAGCAGAATCTGCGTAGTCTCAAGTATGAGTAATTTCGAACATGAATATAAAAAAAATATTTTGTAATCTTGATTTATTTTAGTACCACTCCTAGTGGGATTAATTTTTGCAACTGAGTTTCTAGAAAGGTGACGGCATTGTCCAAGCCATCGCCACCTGCCCTCAAACCAACGTCTGGGTAGCTACTAGCAAAAGCTCGCATACAACCAACTATATTAGCCAAAGTTGGCTTTTGGATTTATGTTTTGAACAAAAGGAAAACCCTATTATGTGAAGTTGTCTCGCGACTCAAGCCGGCGCATGTCCCAACATGAAAGCGCACATATAAGTGTCCACCACCACGCATCACAGCACTTGCCAACTTCTTTCGCCCAACACCCTTGATCAATCACTTCCTTCTCTGGATCAGCTCCAAGCCGCCTCTTTCTTCAAATACCTGGCAAGAGGCTGGAAAAAAAAGCCACCCTGCTCCAGTCCCATCTCCGGAGTGCTGGCCGTCAACCCCCTCAAAAGTTACAGGGAAAATGGCACAAATAGATTCCAGCGGCAAAAATACCTTGGCGGATCTCCCCGAAGAGACCATGCTGCACGCACTCGATAAGCAACTCTTGGTCGTGCTGACGGTGCTGCCCATCGTCGCGTACCCGTTCCTACCCTCCGCTGGCCGATTGGGAATCCGATGCGAGATAGTCTTGATCTGGTCTTGCCTGCTCAGTGCTCTCATCATCAACACGGTGGCATGGACGGCGGCAGACGGCCCTATCATTTCTCGCCGCATTGGCTGGCGTCCAAGGTATTTGCGTGCCGCGCAACCGCAGCGCAGAACCCCGGGACTTTCACTTCACTGCCGCAGCTACGCAAAGATTATATCTCGTTGTCGTCTCGCACCATATAACAGTAATCCTTAATTCTGTTACCGCAGAGGCTGGCCGGCTGCTATTATTTCCGCCTCTTAATCACAGTCATTAGCTTCCCGACTGTTGTTCTAGTCATCTTCTTTTTCGTGATGATCCGCGACCAAGATATCACCGGTTTATAACACGCCAGGTCCCTTGGTGGCCAGAAAACGGTGCTGCTGAGGATTTTGGACCAGGATTTAGCGTCGCACTTGCGATTGTGGTAAGTCTCACCTATCGCAATATCCTTTGTCATCCTGAATTCTGGGAAAGGCTATACGAATATCTAACGACGCTGTCGCAAAATCTACCGCCGTCTTGGTCTCGTGTCTCGCCTGCGCGCGCCCACTGGCAAGCGCACTCAGCCGCGGCCGCCGCCTAACATCTCCGAAGCCGAAGCCGCCAAGTACCTAGTTGGGACCGGTGTGTACTTATGTACCCTATAGCTTCTGGGTTTTGCAGTGCGGAGAGGCTGGCAAGAGCTATCGCCAAGTTTCCCTTTTCTTCTCGGTTTTGTTCTGGCATGTCGAGACTTGCTCTGGATCGGCGCGAATCGAGGTGAAGGGGTCGTAGGACGTCTCGTCGTTGATGTGGCGGCGGCGTCGAGCTGGCAGGAAGGGGGTATGATGGTATAATGCAGTTGGTAAGGAAATGATAGCCGGGATGCTCCGACGAAAAATGATTGAGTGCAAGAAGAAGAAGCAGAAGCTGCCAGGGTGCTGAGGAATAAGAGCGCAAAGACGCAGACAGGAAAGAAGACAAACGAGGGCAAAATGAAGCCTGCGTGTGTTGCATGTCGGCAGTAAATCTACAGTGGCTGTGACACGAACCCCTCCCTTGATTTTCTCTGTTTAACTGAAAAGGAACCAGCGGATTTTTTAAACTTGCGTAGAATAGCCAATGGTTATCATATCTAGAGTAGTATATCGTATCTATTTAAAAACAAAAAAATCAAGGACGTTTAGGTCGCGGATTCTTTGGTGCCCTCAGCCACAGCCACCGCGCCATATTCTGGTGACGCTGCACCGCACGTATTTGGGCAGTCACTCATATACCTTCTTTAGCCCTTTATGAATAGCCTTATCTGATAAGCCTCCCAAGGTCCTTTTTTCCTTCTATAAATTTATCTTCTTTCTAACTAATATGCAGCTTAGAATTTGGTGTTCCAATCCCGGCGGCTCGCGACTAATGACATGTGCAGCCAAGACGGCTTACACGGCGCGGGACAGGAACAACTGAAGCATCAACAACATCATCAGGAACTACCGACATGATGTTGCATAGCACGAACTGTGGCTTCCAACACACGCAGCCACGCAATTAATAACAAACTTTGCATCACCGCCGAGACCGGACAGAATACGGCGACGACCGATAACAAGGTCGTTTTCAATCCCGACATGAGCAGCGCTTCGCCACAACCATGCTTTCGGATGCAAAGAGCCATTCAAAGATACACAGTCTCATTACCCCGCGTCGAAAGCCAATTATGGCCAGGTGCAGCGCGCGTTTTCAGCTGTGGCGTGATTGGGCTTTTTTGGCGTCGATCGGGGAAAAGTTCCGCAGTCCAATCAATGGCACTCCTCCGGCATTTTGTCGTCAGCATTCCGTGTCATCTCCTCTTCAGCTGTGCAAATTCGTTGCCCTGTCCGCATCCCGCAATCACTGCAAGTCCACCGCCGGGTGTACATGTCCGACATGCCTTTTGCATGTCTCTGTATAATTGCTCGAAAAGGGAAGGGGATCGCCGCATCGAAAGGCCAGAGGCTGGCTGAAGCCCGTATGTAGGAGAGACTTGTAGGCTTTGCAGCTGCAGTCGTGAGCTCTGATTAGTTTGTGGTTGCTGTCAGTTACACGATCGAGCTGCTCTGCTTCCGAGACTTGCATCGGGTATGCCACGTTATTGCCCATGCCGCCTAATCAGTACTGCAAACTTCCCGCGTCTGTCTCTGGCATTTGATGACTGTAGGATAAGGAGTCAAGCGGAAAGCAGAGTCGACATAAACCGAGGTGAAAGAAATACAGAAAAAAAAAAGAAATGATCGACGCTTGTGGCTTTTTCGTCTCATTGAGGGCCGACATGACATTCTGCTTTGGCTGCGAACCGGCCAACATCAGCATTGAGCTTCAGCGGCGTCGATTCAGGTATTACCCCAAATCCCCGCAGAGATGGAAGACTGGGGATGCAGGTATATCATCCCGACATGCAGCGGAAAATCATCGTGGCAAGGCATGTCTCGGATACGGCGTCGATTGTCTGAGAGGTACGAGATATTGGATATCATGTCTCGTTTACGCGCCAATCGGCGGAGAGAATTGGTGATACTTTGTTCAACATGGGCTACCTACATGACCAGTCTTTTGACTATATAATAGCTGCCTTTGCCCAGTGTCCGGATGAGAACCTTTCCAACCTCAACAACGTCACATCTACATACACTGCAATCTCCACACACTTAACAACCCAACCCAATTCTTGTTCCTACACCATGGCTCTTGCACTTCCCATGCACAACCTCCCAATGGATGAGCCCGCCGCCTCCGAGGTCTTTGAGTACAACAACCAGACCTTTTACTGCTGGAAGCTCACTGAGACGGAGCGCGCCCACATTGCCAGCATGCTCAACATGGACGGTAAGCAATCAATGCCCCCCAGTGATGAAACGTGGGCTGACATGAACTTGTGGCCAGCGACCGATCTCAAGCTCAAGGGCAACAACTTTCTCCAGGACCGCTCCCAGTGCAGGGGCTGCGGCAAGCACTCGGGCATGGACGACTTTGTGCACAACGCCCTCTTTGCCGGCATTCACTCGGTCGAGTTCATGAAGGACTTCCTCCTGGGCAAGACCGAGCAGGCGACCCCCTACACCGAGCACGAGGTCACTTGCTCCCGCTGCAGCACCAAGCACGACGAGACCAAGTCCTGGCCGACCTACCCTCCCTGGCCTCGCTACTAGTGGTCCAGACCGTCCTACGCTCCTGGCCGATGGGGAAACTTTTTTTGTACTTGACCAGTCGTTGTGTTTCGCCACAGTAGAGCAGTGTGCTCCTCCAGATAGCCACTGCGCGGCCAGTTATAGCTTTGAATACAGAAAATTGTTGCCTGCAATGCTCGTTCGCATCCCCTGCACGCCTATATTCTTTGGCAACGCCATGTTCACTACCGAAACCATGTATACATGTAAACGTTCCTCCTAATGAAGACGAAAGTTTTCTTCATATTCGTGTCTCGTCACCCTCTGCGGAACGACGCCACTGGCCCAGCAAGTGTGCAGCATACGCCCTCGACATAAAAGGTCTGGAGAAGTATAGTGAAGAATGTGAGAATGGCCTTAAGAATGAAGCACTTTCCCGGAATAGATACCTAGCAATGGTTTAAACCTCAGTCTTACTTGTGGTTGGTTTTGAAGAGTGTGGAGCGCAGGTGGACGATGATGGAGGGAGAATTCACTGCTCTGCTACCCTAAGTATTAATATCAAGACTTGATAAATATTCCAACAACATACACATTTCGACTTTCAATTTAGAATCGCTTACAGGTCTATTTTATTTCAATTGGATATTCATTTTCCGTAAATTTCCTCGCACGGATATTTGCGCGCAATCTGCTGGTGAGTAAGCCGCCACCAAAACCACATCCTTTCACAGCCTCGGTTTTGGTTTCCCTCGATTTCCGCACCCAAAATAAACCCTGCTTACGGGAAGCAAACACGGACCAAAAGTCACCTTCCCGCACGCTTCATCCAGGAATCATAACTCTGTCACTTGTCTGTATCAGCTCAGAGGAACAAAGCCCGCGAAAGAAGAAAAAAAGCCACCAAAGACATGTCCAAAGTGGAAGATGCCGCGCCGGGCGATGCGCCGGCCCTGTGCGCGCTCCAGCTCAACGCGTTTGACAGCCCCGACTTTGTCGAAATGTTTCCCGAGCCGTACACGCTGGCATCCTGGGCCGGCTTCGTCCAGCGCTCGGTGTCGGTCCAGCCGGGCCTGCAGACTCGCGTCGTCTTGCTTCGGAGCGAGCAAGGTAACCCCCCCTCCCCCAAGTGGATATATCGTACAAGTTCAAGTCGGCTAACGGCTCGGGAATCCTTCAAGGCCAAGCGGAAGCAGCATGCCTGCTGCATATCGCGCGGGACAAGGACGCTGCGGCAGAGCTCTACCGGCCTTGGGAGGAGAGCTGGGGCGCAGCATTGCCGGGCATGAGTGTGGACAAGCTGGATGCGTTTTTTGGCGGCATGAAGACGCAGCACGAGGCCATCATGGGCGCCGTCCCTCATATCCGTACGTTGATGCCTCTCTCCCTCTCTCTCTTTCTCTCTCCCTCTCTCTCTTTCTCTCTCCCTCTCTCTCTTTCTCTCTCCCTCTCTC